ATCCATGTCCTGCGAGTAGAGGCGAGCGACGACGCAAGAGATGAGCTATAAGAGAATGTATTCTAATGGGTATGTTAGCTCGTTATCGAGGGGAATAAAACTAAGGCTCACATCTCAGTCTTGGTAAAAGGACTGAGATGTTCATACGACGTGTACCTTCTTTTAACTACGGGTAGAATAGGAATAAATAAACATATCAGTTTGAAACATAGCGGGAAGGTTTCTCGGCCGAACGGAGCTTGGGTCCGCTCGTACCTACTCCACTGTCAAGCGCCCCTATCATTGTCTGACTCCAACACCATGCACTTCCTGCCAATTGTAGACATGTGCTTAACTATGTCAGACAATTATGATCCTCCTTTTCACTTTGACTGATCTCCTGGGATACCCTTGTTCTGCTGAAGGCCCTTCAGTAGCACCCAAACATCTCAGCTCCTTACAAGAGACTGAGATGTGAGTTAGAACCATCACCTGTATTTACAAAGCTAATGCCATGTTATATTCACATGGGCTGCAACTAATATATATACCATTATCCATTGGACTAGGAATAAAATCTGAAATGTCAGGACTCAGCGATAATGAAAAAAATGAAAGTTGTTATCATGCTTAACTTTCTTAACAAGAGTTGTAGTCCGAGACTCCGAGTCAAGGTGAGTATATTGGTAGTCTGATCTTGTCGATTGCTTATCATTTGATTGAGATATAAGCTAAAGAAATCCGAAACATCGGAGATAATGAATTCAGACTATCGAGTTCAGACTATTGTATTAGACTATTGTATTAGACTATCGAGTTTAGACTTTACTGCTCCTCTTCGTCTTTGGTTTCTTCATCTGTTCAAATGAGTACATGACGAGGGAATATGAAATCGTGACATTTTGAGGCGCAGGAGGAGCTAAGCAAAGGATAATCATGACAGTCCCTGACACCCTAAGCCTGTGGTGAGCACACCATACCTTCTTCGTGTCTCTGTGGGCGGCCAGGTCCACGTTTGTCAAGTACTTCCACTGGTTCTGACTCGTCAGGGTCTCCATCTGCAACAACATTCACTTGCTTCCCAGAGTCCATGGAGGAAGACTGCAACACGTCGTCATCTTCTGGCATTGATAGTTCACCATCACTCGAGAAGCTGTCCGTGAATACGGAGTCCATTGTTGTGAGTATATGCACTTGTTATTTGACTCTATGTACCTGCCTATTATTTATTTGTTTTTTACATTCTCAAAATGTCACTACTGTCAACCTTTTCGCAAACAGCTGTAAATTGACTAGAGAAGAGAATGTGGTGTTGGTTGACAATAATGCAAAGACATTAAAAGCAAACTTTCAATGTCGCTCTGCTGTCCAGCTATATATCTTCCATGAACCTAGTCTGGACCTTGACATATAATGATGAAGTTGTCTATCAGGATGCCCACATTACAAGCAGTTCAGTGGGGCTCTCCAGTAGTCTCCCCATGGTGAGATATGTGCATGCATGCCAGCTTTCCAGGTTGAGGTATAAAAAGGTGAACCTGTTTTATTTTTGATGTTGGTATAGTACAGGAATTGATATAGGGCGCTCTAGGAGGTCAAATAAGGGCTGGGATGGGTTCATATATGTTGTGAAGATATGCTATAATGATATGAAAGCAAGGGTATAATGAATTAAAGGCACCTAGGTTGTGAAAAATGCGAAAATACAAGTGGTGAGTTAAAGGTCAGAGAAAGAATGTGTTCCCTCTTTCCCATAGATTATGACAAATGATGTTCCTATGTTCCCTCTTCCCACGGAGTGTTCCCAATAAATGTTCCTGTGTTCCCTCTTTCCCACAGTGTTCCCACTGTCCTAACCAAATAAAGACATAGTGTTCCCTCTTTCCCACAGATAATGACACATGATGTTCCTGCGTTCCCACTGTCTTAACCAAATAAAGACATAGTGTTCCCTCTTTTCCCACAGAATATTAGTCTTGGTGTTCCTTTGTTCCCTTTACTAACCAAATTAAGATGTTCCCTCCAGGAACATCTATGGTCACCATAGATGCTCGACTCCAATAGATAGGATTCCATGTCGATACTGATGTATAAAAGGATGTTCCTAGTGTTTTTGTATCATATTAAGTGATTGGAGATGGTCTCAGAGTCATCCGGGCCCATGTGAATTGTGATGTGTCAGTTTGCCTGATGCCCCCCCCCACAAAGATCGATTTTTCTAGGCTTCCCATGACTTGTCAGTCCTTCAGGAGCATCCTTCCTGGGGGTTATTGAACCCTCTGAACATGATGGTCAAGCCAGATTTCCCAGAAAAAATCATGTTCTTGAGATATGCAAGATCCCCCTCCCCCTCCTATCTCATATATCTTCATATTATGTGAATACTGATATATCAAAGGATGTTCCTAGTGTTTTTATGATCACAGGAATCGATTGGAGATGGTCCCAGATTATTTCTAGCCTGTTTGAATTGAAATATGTCAGTTTGCCTCATACCCCCCACAAAGATCGATTTTTACAGACTTCCCATGACTTGCCAGTGCTCCAAAAGCATTTTTCCTGGGGGTTCTTGATCCATCTGAACACGATGGTCGAGCCAGATTTCCCAGAAAAAATCGCATTCTTGAGATATACAAGGTCCTCCTCCCCCCTCCTACCTCCTATATTTTGCTGTGCTTGAATTTAACTTAAGACCGATACTGTAAAGGCCTGTCCTAGGGTTTTTTAGGTGTAGGAATCGATTGGTGATGATCCTGGACCACCTGGAGATCAATATTGGTGACATATGGTGGTGGACCCAAAAAGTCAGTATTTTGGCCATATCTCCACAACCCAACCGCCGATTTCTTTAATTGTTGGCTCATATCATTCCTAGAAGTACCCTCCATGATATGTACCAGCCCATGAAAAGAAATTTTTTCACAAGTTTGAAACCTATTTCTGAAATGACCATATAAATGAAAACATACTTTGGCTGCACGAGATAACGCACCCAGTGCTATCTTTGCATATGGATGAACCTGTGGAACTAGATTAGTTCGGTTCTGATCGAGAGGAGGCCTGCATACATCCGCAATCTCTCCGATAACAGAGTCGAATATTGGAGATATGTGTCATCGAAATTGTCAACAACATCGAGATCCTCTTGGGTGCCTTGAAGAACAGAATCCACAATTATCTCAGGTCCCGAAAGTGAATGCATGTGCTTTTCAGCCTCTTGAGCATCCTGAAGTGCCAATTGGGTATTAACCTCCACTTCCACGCCAGACGGAGCCGCCTGAACCTGCATGACCACCAAAATTTAGTGAGAGCACAGAAACTGAAGGGCAAATTTGAGAATCTACCTCGATATTCGAGGGAGCAGGGTTATGGCTACGGGAATCCTTCAAGCGCTTGTTGCAATCTTAGTCGTATTCCAGGATACTCATTACACATGTTCGTGGACTCACCGAGATCCTTAACTTGTCCTTAAAGACCGATCAGCTTTGCCACCGGGTCGGTGCTAGACGAAGGATGTGATGATGTCAGTATTTAGTATTTGGAGTGGAGTGGACAAAACGATCCTCGAAAACCACGTACCGAACTTTCATCAGATGTTGTTGCTTCGTTAGATTTGTGGGTTTGTTGAGTTGAATCCCTCGACAATTTTGCCTTTGGTCGTTGTGAACACCTCTTATGTACATTTGCTTAATGGCAAGGCAGTAAACACAAACTTCGCATGTATGTATCATTTACTATATCGGCGTCAATGTCGCTCGAGCCCGTCGTCGAACTTAGTTGAGATCTGCTTGATTAGATCCCCTGATTCGCAAGTCGCTTGCCGATGTCCATGCGGAGTCATGTGAGAAGCCTGAACGTGATTATGTAGAGTTTGCTAAGGAGTTCCGACTAACCCGGCCGCTCGATCAAGGTAGAGCCTAACAATATCGTGGCCCATATGGTAGTACGGTCAGATTTGCAACCGTGATAGACGAAGTTGACCTACTAACACATACTAACATACTAACATACACCCCACCTTTCATGCTTCCGAGTTGAAACGACATGTACCCAACGACACCTCTCTCTATCCGTCCCAAGAACTGAAAGACCGGGACCAGTCATCACAAATACAGGTGCCAAAGAATGGGAGATAGAGCATATTCTAGACCGCCGACAATGTGGACGCGGATGGCAGTATCTCGTTCGATGGCGCGGGTGCCGACCAGAAGCAGACGTCTGGCTGGCCGCCAGCGAAGTGCAAAACTCAGACGCGCTAGATGAATTCAACAAGACGCTTGGTTCGGACTCCGAGGATGCTTACTACATCAACAGTCACGTGAATATTCCCCATATATACCACTACGTTTCGTCTTACTGAGTCTTGAGATCAGACTCAGGGTCTCTTGCCCACAGGCTACTATCATCTGCCCATTTGTACTACATTCCGAAATTCACAGTTTCGTTCTGTTAATCCTTGACCGACTCGTTTAGTGTTTCCCGCCGCCAGCACGGCGGGCTTCCAAATCACGTAAGTTTTAACATCTCAACCTCAGTTGCGAACGGCCATATAATATAGAACCTTACACCCCACGTGCCAAGCGCATCCTGCAGGAGGTAGCAAGAAGAACGTTGGTTAGGCTTCCTGAAGCCCATTTTGGGTCTCAAATTGCCCTGCGCTTGGCCTCAACCTGTCCTGAACCTCTACAGGGCGGCATTGAGGGAACATATATCTCTAATACAGAAGATGACTGTATGACGTACGGCCGGCCCATGTTCGATGAGAAGTGTCAAAACTGTCCGATACACCTCCTTACACGATCGATGCGATGAAATCGCCCTAATTTGGCCCGCCGAGAACGTCAAAACACGAACCGCGTCGGAATATTCGCCGTCGCGCAAGTTCCATTGAGACTGTACAAACCGGCCAAATACATTATATGATATACTTTCGATCGTGCTGCAAAATGTCACACTCGGTTCACATCATCCAGGACTCGGCATAGTTGAGTGACCCAACCTCTGGACTCAGTCCAACTCATAACCTTTGCCTCCATCAGCAGCGTATCCTACATGTCCCACACAAACTGTGATCTTCCAGGCCTGTATCTCATTCTACGTGAGTTGGCCGATCACGACCCTCAGATTTTTCTGATGATAGCGAATACAGAACGAAGCTACACATCGTCACTCCGCTTTTCCACCTATCGGAATTGTACTTGTGTTGCGACCACCACCACAGAATACCCTATTGTAGACCTGTCTGACATTCTCCTCAGTATGCCCAATCGTGCAAGGTTCAAAGGCACGTGTGTCCACATATGTCGCACTTAACGAATCTGATCGCGACGCACATAGACTTCGTTGCCTTCCTAGTCCGAGAGGGCATCATCATGTTTTTTCTTGATGATGCAGCGAATGGTTATGCACTTGCAGATTCATTCAATGATGAATAGGGATCGTGAACATGCCTGTCAGATCGCAATTTGTTGTCATTTGCAGGAGGACTAGCCTCGGTCTTGGATTTTGATAGAGTAGGCTTAGGAGTTGTGTCCATCATCAGCAAACCGCTAATGAACCCATATGATCGAACCTATTCCAAATTACGCAATTTCCGACCGGAGTATCCTTGGAGTACCCGCAATAGAAGTTTGGCCTCAAAGAAGTTTGTCTATTGCGGCGGAAAGCTGCATTGCATAATGGAAGATGCCATCCACTGTTGGCAGTCGATCTTGCTGAAGGGCTTGCCTGCGAATCTGTGATGCTCGATTGTGTTATTTGGATGATGCTGACGTAGTCCAAGGCGATCCAACGTGATTAACGTTGCCCATGACACATGTTTTCTGCGCCCTTCGTTGGATCTGTCTTTCGCTCGTACCTATGGCAGGGTAAGCGCCAGCTGGGATCTGCTGACCGTTAAGCTCAACTACCAACAGGTGAGATTCATTATACGGGAACCTGGCATCCGGCGCAGGCGCGTATATGTTTCTTGCTGTTTCCTCAAGCTGGGGTTCTTCTGGCGTCAGTTCTCCATGATCAAGGAGCCGAAGAACGTCAACCTCTACTGCGCTAGCAGCCAGCTCTGTTCACAGCTTGTGAGGGTATTGATCCTCAGTCTTTGGTTCCTCATCTGTTGGTAAGCGATTTAACAGTCCTGTGTTTTTACTAAGATATTAAGATTTATGACGGGTTCTCTCGCGTTCAGGAAATATGGCCATTCATGAAACATTGTCAGCGCCTTCTCAGCTTGAGCCATGCCGATTGAAGTCGTCGCCCTGCTGTTCCCAGAACGTGAGTGCGTCGATCCTCATTCGAGCTCGAACCATGCTGATCAAAGTCGTTGCCTACCATTCGCAGCCTGTGAGCGCGTAGATCATCCTTCGAACTCGAGCCATGCTGATCGAGGTCCTTACCCACTGTTCGCAGATTGTGAGGGTGTTGATCCTCTTTCGAGCTCGGGCCCTGGTGATCGACATTGCTGTGAGCGTGTCGATTCTCCTCCGAACTTGAGCCACGCTGATTGCCCATTGTTCGCAGGATGTGAGTGCGTCGGTCTGTCTTCAGGTTCGAGCCATGCCGATCTAAGTCGTTGCCCACTGTATCATCTATTCCATGGCTGCCCAACAGCCAGCGAGGGTGAGTAGTTTTATCGTCCTGTCTGATTGGACGTTGCTGATGCTTTACAACAGCGCAATTCTTCTCCGTCGAAAAGTAGCGATGTTTTCAAGCTGGTCAGCGCAACTGTCATCATTAGCGTACGCACTGATAAATCGCGAACACTTTCTTTAGGACGCTCAAGGAAGGGTGATTAAATCGCTCAGCGTCAGCAAAATCCCCACTGAATATATTTCAAGGTTCTTGATTCGTATCACTTCGGTCGCATCCCGTTGCGCAATGTGGCTGCGACTCCTGATGGTCAGCAGCTGCTGGGTGTGCGTCCACTTCTTGCAGCACCTAATGGGTTGCATCCAAGCCGCACCACTAGGGTTGAAAAATGCATAATAGGTGATCCATAGATCATCCGATTGACTTCATATAACACAGTTTTCAATATGGAGACTAAAGCGTTCGAAAGGTGAGTTACCTTCATCTTTTCAAATATTTTTTACTGACGCCCGTCGTGAACGATGTGCGCGACATTACAATATCCAAAAGGGGTGGAAACGCGCTGGTTTCCTTTGAGCGCAAGGTACTGAGAGCCATGATATCCTCTGATCACTCATTTCATTGCGCCTGTGCCGCTATCGAATAATGGACGCCACGCTTACTGTGCAGGACGTTCACATGACTCCGGTACAAGACTCAGGCCCCTCGATTTCGAGCGAATCACATCGGCTACTCGCGCCCATGTAGCGGTTGTCAGTGTTCGAAGCATCTGATCAAGGTAAATAGAATTCCTTGAAGTAACAAATATTCACAAATTTTGATTTCCGTAGTTCTACGCGTAATAGTACGATGATCTTATATTTTCACTGGGCTTAAACTTAATCGCTCGCCTGAAACTTCGATTGAAACACCGTGTGACTCATTACATTCGATCAAGAGGCGGACATCGCGGTAAATACGGATATACGCAACATGCGAGCACTATTTCAAGTGGTGATCCCTTCATAACATCCTCACAACCCCAGAAGTTGTTTTCGCTCCTTCAAGGTCATTCTACTTGGCGATGGTGAAGACGCGCGCCCGCCACCACCAGCTCAAAAGCTATAAAGTACGTCCTGCGAGTCTCTAACGCTGACCTCTTCTGCTAAGTTGAGCATCGTAGCAATCTACATCGACTGCTATCACCGACTCTGGCGAAGTTGCTCGACATGCTGCTCAACTACGAGGTGCAGCGAAGAGTCGCATTCTGAAAGCGGCAGCGGTTCCTCTCCCTGCCCTTGACGACACAGCACTCGTGCGCACATGGTCTGTCGGGCGCGAAAAACGATTTCTACGCAATATTCGATTTAATATGCAGCTATGGAAGATACACGCACCGACCTACCGCATCTTGGGCGCCGACATCGACATCTTGTCATCTCGTCCCAAACCATCTAATGAAGGTAAAATAAAAGCGCAAACGACCATCGATACCATGGTGAATTGGGAGTCCGACGCTTGTTCTGCGAAATTTTGCGATGAAAAAGGCCAACTGTTGGCGGCGTACTTCGCAAAGCGCATTGAGCGCCGATCTGCAGGCCAGCGCAGAGTCGGTAAGGTAAGTGCCTCACTCACGGTTGCCAGCCGCGGCACTCATACGTTTGCTCTTAGAAAGCGCCAATATATCCCAGCGGTCCCAAGGCGCCAGGTGTAATGGGTCGCACACTAGCGGCCATTGAAGCGGCCGCTGCTGCAGGCCACAAAGTTTTGATTGACGGTATCGAGGTATGTTATTTTTTAATTTCGGCTAACATAGTGCTTATACAGTTGTAGGATGATTTGCTCGACGATGCTTTGTTTGCGACGCAGGTCCTGCACCATTTCTGCCACCCAGAAAAATCGCAGAAGGATGGTCGTCATGATTTCGAGGACTTCCTTATGAGATACCGGCGAAGGCCGGATGAAACAGCAGATGAATGCACGCAAGAGGAGGGAGAGTGGGATTTTGATCATGATGGGCTTACCTATAGGTTTGCCGATGAATACGAATCATCGGAGCGCACCGGTGTGACTCACCTCGTACATGCGTGGCACATGCAGGGCCATCATACCAGCAAGGTATTTTCACTTTCTTGAATAGCTTAACTGTATTGAAGATTTTTCAGAGTCCTTTGAAGCCTTCAGCGGACATGATAAGGAACGCCCAAGTTACGCAAGCAGTGCAATGGTACCTTGCGTACACTCGGCCGCTTGCCCTGAGCTTGGAAGAAATGTTTAAAGTATCATGGCCTGCATACTACGAAAGGTACCGAGCGGCCTTCGAAGCAGGTGTATGGGTTGAAGACGATCCTGGACCATGGCTAGGGAGGGCCATTGTGTGGAAGTTACAGGTTCTTCCGCATCGCGATGGCCTGGATGGTGGGCCTACTGCCATATTCTGTCTTGGGAGCTTCAGTGGTGGCGAGTGTTATTTGCCAGATTTAAATCTCAAACTTCAGTAGGTTTTCAAATTTACATTGCTAGAAACGTGCTAAATGACCTAAGGTATCGCCCTGGGGATGTCTTAATTTTTCTTTCAGGTGATTTATATCATGCGGTTGGAGAGTGGAAAGCAACACCAGGAGTTTCTGCTCGAGGTATCACACCGGGGCGCATCGGCAATGTGTTTTTTACCCCCGCCGATTCCCTGCGTGCTTTGGAAAACCGGCCTCCTAGGTGGTCCAAAAAAAACCGCCGGCGGTACACTTCCCTCGTCATCTTGAGATTCATATGTGATGGACTGACATCGCAGTCAAGCTACACAGTTTTCCTGACTTACTTTTTTGTATGCTACGTAGACCCAACTACTGCTTACTACAAGTTCTTTACCATGCCGCTTAGATTCATCCCCTTCTGCACCTTCGCAATTTAACCCATTTTGATATCGAGGCAGCACGTCTGACGTTTATCTTTGTTTAATTTTGTACCAGCCCTCGAAGGCATGGGCAAGACTAGCCTGCGCAAAGCTCGAAATAAACACAGTCCTTGATCCCCACGAAATTCGCAGGAGCGTAGCCAAAACTTCTTCAAAGAAGGAGCAAAAGCAGCGTTCCAGGGAACAGATCAACCAAGCTAGACATGCTATTGATTCGTTGGGCGCAATATTGACACTGTCGTTGTGGACGAAGAAAAACTGCTATTGAATGCATCGACGTGCGTTTCTCTGCCTTCTGTCTTTGTCTTTCTACATTATGTCAAAACATTGTAGTACACGCGCACTCAGGGCGCCAGTCAAGCAACTTTCCTCCCGCTTGACACGATCAGCACCAAGCCAGTCAACAACAAGTTCCGCTCATTTGCTAGAGGCGCATGTCTCGCTGCGGATGTGATCCAGTATGAGCCTGCCGTAGAGCGTGCAATGCTCCATGCGTGTGGGAGTGCACTTGTATGTGATACCGTGGATGTGGCGAGGTATGTGTGCTGGGAGTGGACATCATGTTAAGATTTGGGCAGCTGTTACATCGGAGGGCACTGCTATCCACAAGGGGCTTATTACTGGTGAGAGCAGTACGCACGGGGGAGGAAAGAAGTGGGAGGAGAAGGACGTGCAAGGTAGGCAGCTTACCAACCATGGCGTCTCACACTCATTTATCTGCAGGCCTTACACGTCTTCGTGACAATCTTGTGGCAACTTCAGGAATTGAATCGCTCGAAACCGAGGGGCAAGGCAGACGAAAACGTCATCGCCGAGATTACACGACTAGAGAGTGCTGTAGCTGTTGTAAGAGATGATCTGGTACGTTCTTGTTATCGGTGGCATTACAATAGTCTCATTGTTCTTTACTCAAGCACCTGCAAATCCTGGTACAACGGTATCAGAGAGGAGCTAAAGTACGTCGAGCGGGAGCTCAAGAAGCTCTATCCCGAGCTCAAAAAGGTTCACGACCCGCGTGGATGGTCCGGATATGTTGCACTTTAGCATTCACCTTTTCTTGTTCCTCGCTCGCTTTTCTGTTTTGCTAGCGGAGGCGTGAACGATTGTTATAAACATTGACAACACGGAGACCACCTTTCCTAGTTCCATTGTTGAGACATTCTCGGATAGAGTCCAAGACTGACACTCACCAGCCCGCACAACCTGTTGGCATCGACCATTTTTGCCTTGATCACGCTCCAATCTCTTTCTGACACTGCAACCCGGAGCGTCAAGCCCATACCTAGAATTCAAAGGTCAAGAGCGATATGAGAATTACAGTGCAATGACTGTCGCTCGAGACCCACTCTTCAGTAGACCTTCACGCAGAAGTCATATCCGCGCACCTAACCTGATTATTGCAGCGACGACGGAGGGAGTGAAAACCTCGAACGGCAGAGCGACAAGGAAATGAACCAAGGTCTGATCACACTGCAAATCGTGAGGCATTGTATCATCCGTTTGAGTTGGTCTGAACAAGTGTTTCTGTGAGTGATAATCTAGGCTGTAAAGCTGACCACTTACCAGCGACTTGGATACCACAAAGATTTCTTGCGATTTCTTGCATTACTGGGCTTGCATACATAGTCCCAAAGGCATGTTGAGGACTGAATTTCTATAATCAGGTTAGATGCGCGGATGTGACTTCCGCGTGAAGGTCTAGATTATAGGGGTGACGCTTGCAGGGGTGGGCCCGACGCACCAAATATGTAGGTCAGCGCTGAGGGGGTTATTGTCGAGGGTACAATGACAAACTCTACTTGCATAAGGCTCCCGCATTGGCAGAGCTCGATACTGCATTGGATACGCTCGGCACTGTTGGACTATCGTACGTTATAGTCCAGCATAGTCCAACCATATAGAAGCTTATCCAACATTGTCATTAATTTATATGTTGTGGGGCATGAAATATAAATCTCATCATGCAAACACTTATTGAAGCTCGCCGGGGTTCAGGAAGATGGTAATCCACTGCCGCTCGTCACCCAGATTGTGCACTTGGCAGGTTGGAGCAATGCAAGCAGGGATTGTAACCACGTGCCTGAGGTCAGCGCTGAGGGAGTTATTGTCGAGGGTACAATGACAAGCTCTACTTGCATAAGGCAACCGCATCGGCAGAGCTCGATACTGCATTGGATACGCTCAGCGCTGTTGGACCATCGTACGTTATAGTCCAGCACAGTCCAACTATATAAACGTTTATCTGACACTGTCGTTAGTTCGGAGGTTGCAGATGAAGCAAAAGCAGTTAAAGGCTACATGCCACTACCAGGGTAAGACAGGATTGTAGTATATTGCAGCTGGTCCTTGAGTAGGCGATGGTGGTTGGTCTCGGCAACTTAATATGGCAATATGTGCCATTTTGGTGATAAACTGGTGACTGAACTGTCACGATTATACATTTGACGGTTTCGATCCAACTAAGTCCAAGTATTCAAAGCTTGCTCATGAGGGGTACAATTTTGATGGTTATTGTGCATATTTTAGATCAGATAAAGGCTTCTAATTATTTATCGTTTTCGGGTCGTTTACCTGATGCAGGAACAGACATATAACGCGCACTCAGAACTTGTAATAGCATAAGGAAAACTGAATGATCACGTGGTTCGATTTTGTAAGCAACAGGCTTGCATCAGCGTCTCGCACTTACTACTCCAGACACAGATGGCCCAGTGACTTAGAGCAAGTCATAACGCTCTCGAGATCATTCATGTCTTCATCCGCCAAGCCCAGTGAGTGTCCCTCTGTTCACACATGCTCAACATTTACCGTGTAGTCTGCACGCTTCTTAATTACTTCAACTCCATCCCTAACAGCCGGCGTCACTCCTCTCTATCAAGCTCGCGGTGCAATATGCTCAGCTTCGCGAGATCGAAAGCATGCGTATCATAGCGCTTGGGCATCATAACCGGAACCTTCAAACACGGTATGTTATGCTCAGTTCACGCAACACATCGCTGTCTTGTTATCGCTACATAGAGCTCTCGTCGGACCCCACCATTCGCTCGCATCATGCAGCGCTTTACGACACCCTTCTCCAGCAGAACCTCCTGCGCCTCGTTGAGCCGTACCCGGTAGTAGAAATTGAGTACGTTGCCAAACTTGAGGAGTACATCAAAAAGTGAGTGGCGATGTTTCTTCCATTACGATATGCTCATGTGGCTAATTTTGACATTCAGGATCCACTAGTCTGATCCCTACTCCCTACAACTATCCGCCGCCGTCACACGTCGCTCTATGGTTCACCTTTCTCGTCTTTTCCTTCCCCAAGAAGCTCTCTTCTGAGCTCAAAAAGGTTCGCGCGACTGTGTAGCAGACCCAGAGGTATCTGACTGGAATTTCAGGCTCAAACCTCACACTCAAAACTCTCCTCGCAAATTGCAAAACTCCGATCTGATCAACCCAGCCGAAGACGGCGTTTTGCCTCGTTTTGCTCCCAGATCGGCATCGGGAATGTTCGGGAGTACGAGGAGCATCAGTTGAAAGTCGCCGAGGAGGAGAGTCAGGCGCAACTTGGATTTGATCAGTAGTTTGCGAGGCTGATGCGCCAGTGAGTTTTCTTTTTCGCGGTTTTGAGGGTGAGGGACGGACTAACATGTGTGTGCAGGTCTCAGTTTGAAGAGGAGCAATTGAAGCTGACACTTTCCTACTCGCGGACGCGCACCTCCCCCACCAATTCCCCATGCAACCCGACCACCCCCGTCTCCCTATATGCCTCTGGCACCACCTCACTCTTTAATGCCTCGCCATGCACCACGTCCTCCACCTATGCCCGTTTCGCAATTCATTTCAAAGCCATCCAATATTCAATCGTCATCCAGGAACAATCACAATCACACTAGTTCAGTCCCACAGACACGGGAATCACCAACATTCCCATTCGACATCTGCCATGCCTCAGACCATTCGGCGCACCACCTCGCAGCAGCTTCGTTTCGCGCCACCCACCCAGCCTTCAAACCATTCACTTCACTGCACAAGCAGTTCGCAAAACCTGCACTTTCTGAATCAGCCTCCAACCCATTCACTTCAACGCGCACCCAGTTCGCAAAACCTTCACCGCTCATATTCTTCACAACATCTTCGTTCGCAAACACCTCACGCAGGTCCCTCCGGTAATGGTCACCGACCGCGCGGAAACTCGGGAAGCAGCACGCACAGGCCCGTCATCATTGCTCAACGCCAGGTCCAGCCCCGTATCCACCAACACATCGTGCACCATAACGGTCACGATCATTTCCAATATTCAAAGTGCTCCGGGCGGAAGAAAGTGCTCTGCATGAGTGAAGACACCACACTATTGAATCTCAGTCGCAGATATTGACCCCGTCACGATTAAACCAGACACCCCCGGGCCTCAAATCTCACCAGTTTCCTCAAATAGCGTCAAGCTGCCATCTGTTCGGGGGGGATTACGGTCGCCGAGTCCAATACCGTCTCTCGGAGAATCGACTACCCCAACGCAATCGAATTCTTCTACGGTGGGCATTGTGTTGTCTCTAGTACTGATTACTACTCCTTTGAAGAGTATGCACCTTCGAATTCTGCTGCAAATTCCTACTAACGACACCCACAAACACATTTACAGGTTCCAGGTCTTTATTCTCGCTATCCTCGCCACGCGTATGCATCTCCATCTCTGGAATATTGACCGGGACGTGCATGGGGGTTCTGACGCCTCATGATTTCTCTGTCCGATGTACCATCTGCAGACCATGCAGTGTGACGTCTTATCGCGCCACTATAAGGAAAGCTCTGCCATTAGCATTGGACGCCCGCAGTCTCATTGAGGACTGCGACATAGTACACTTTGACTTGGGTTCTGGTTCCCTTTCTGTCAATTTTTAATGTTTATTTTCGCACATCACAATGTCTGCCTGTATTCATATCTTTCGTCGTCGCCACTACGCATCACTATTTGACCTTGCGTTTTGGCCAGTGCCTTCGCCCTTTGACTTATAGGTGCGCATACACTTCTTGTATAGCCATTAAACTCAATTCTTCTCAGTAATCGTCCGCTACCGTCTGTCCGAAAGTGTGACAGGCGTGTTTGTGACAGAGTCGCGTCAGTGCCACTTAGGGTAAGCAACTGCCAGTAAGACCAATATTTCGAGTTGGCTTGGTCAAGATGCCTCTCATCCACGTAGAAGTGAGCGATTTCAAGTCGTATCGGTGTGCCCATGTAATACCTTGTCAAAAACTAATTCATATATCTAATCACCGGCTCTACCCATTCCTTTCCAGGGGCCACCAAGTGATCGGACCCTGCAAGAACTTCACCTCCGTTATCGGTCCCAATGGCGCTGGAAAATCAAATCTCATGGATGTAATCTCTTTTGTGCTTGGTGTAAAGAGTGCGCAGTAGAGGACGCTCAGGGACTTGAGAAGAAACGACTAAAAGCGCAAGCAGAAGAGAGAGAAGCAAAAGAGAAGGCAGAGAAACACGAACGAAGGCTCCAGGACAGCAAAAACATTGTGCTTACTGAAGATCCATCCCTCCCTCAATCTGTCAAGGTAATCATGTTGATAAATCATAAATATCCTGCTTATTTCCAAATCATACAGTCCAAGATCGTAAAACTGGAGTCCCCTTCGCGGGCAGCGCGTCCGGGTATCTGGGTGGGTTCACAGGCGGCGCGATCAGCAAGAAATCATGTTTATTGTCCTGCGGGACGGGACAGGATATCTGCAGGCTGTTCTTACTGGGAATGCGGTAAATCTTGCAGCTCACAGTTTTGGTCTTTAGATCTGATTTGTGCCTCAGAACAAAACATATGATGCTGTAACATTACAGCTAGAGGCATCAGTTGAGCTGACTGGCACGCTCAAGACCGTTCCTGAAGGCCAGCGCGCCCCTGGAGGACACGAACTAGTCGTTGACTATTGGCGTGTCCTTGGTGCCGCTCCCGGTGCCAAGGAAGCATTTACTAACAGACTCAACGAGATTCGAGTTGTTGGCGATGACATTGTGGATGTCGCTATCGTGGCCCTCAGGTTGGTTACAACATCTGTAACTCTACCACCGAGAACCAGAATTCCGCATGCCACACCTCAATGGTGAACCACATCGACAGTGAGTCTCTTGCTAACACTGCACGCATTAATCGCTCATAATTACAATTTTTTATTTTCTTGTTTTTACTGAGCAGGAGGAGGTTGCATGGCGCTGCTGGTGCACGAAGCCTGGCCACAGCACTCGTCTCGTTCCCAATGGTACCCTTCAGAGCGTTCAGTTACTCCGCATGTTGGAGTACATCCAGATTCGCTGGTTTCATTGACCAGACTCAGATTGGCGTGAATGCTCAAGACTGTGGAGGTCAACTCGCTCTTCACGGTGCTGATCTTGTGAGTCTCCGACCTCCTTCGATCAGGGTTAAGCTGACTTTATCCAGCGTGTGTACTCTAATGCGTTCCCAAGCAACAACGGCGATAATAACACCGACCAGCAAGTCATCGACTGGACCAAGTAAGTCGTTCATCTCAAGTCAATTCCCGTTCTTTTTCTCACGTGCCGTAGCTTCACATCCATCGCCTCATCTATCGCGCACCCAATGTCGCATGGAACTCGCCTACATATCATCTTCTGTGGATCACGAGACTTTCGTCAGCGCTGCAGTCAATATAAGTGCAGGCAGCACGCGTCCTCGACGAAATTCTTATTATGGTCCCGCGTAACATGCCATTTGTTGGAGATCTGCAGCCCAAAGTTCAACGCCGCATTCTCGAAGTTCTATTTACACAGATAGTACCCGCATCATCCGACATCCCAGAGACAAGCACCAACATCAAGCTCCGACAAATGGGGTTGGAGACCATGCACCAAATCCTACAAGCATCTAGTTTGTTAACATTGGTCTCCAAAATTGTGTTCTCCCTGCGAACCGTATTTGATCCTATCAATGGGCAACTAACTGACACTCGGACTCGGTGAGTTGTTTCGCCAATCGGAGAATCGTGGCTAACTGTTTTCAATCAGGTTCCTTGGGAATCGGCCAGTCAGACTGGTTCGTGTTCAAATTCAGGGAACCCAGCCGTCCTAGCGCTCTCGTCCAGATCCTGGTTGAATTACACGCATCAAAATCTCATGCATATCACTCCTTTGATTTTTGATAACTTGGACTGTGCATGGAGTTTTTGGGCGGCTTTGAGTACTCGGATATCCCCATGCACAACTACGAACATCGACGGCGAGCTTGTCCATATCCCCATGGCTACTGCTGAGGGTACACTTGTTGCCTCTACTTCGCGTGGTCCTGCAAACCGTCAATGTGGTCCCACGAGCAAACTTCACATTTTAATTCCCTGCCCTGGAGCCTACTTTATCCCTGCATGATCTCGAGAAACTCCATGGCATCATCAATCTGGAGAAGGTTGTCGTCGTCACTGGATTCGCTGAAGTCGGTCCTTGGGGTAGTTCGCGAACTCGTTGGGAAATGGAGGCACGAGGCGTGTCCACGATTGAGGGCTGGATCGAGATGGCCTAGCTTATGGGTTACATGAAGCACTTCGATGGGTAAGACTGGCGAGCTCATCGACGACAAGGACGTCAGAAGCTGCTACGAGAAGGAGATTTTGAGCATGCTGGTGTGCGGATGATTAGTTAGTCACGTCCCAACCTTTATCAGACAGTTTTCGATCTCCCCGCAGAGCCCGAGTTGTTCCGCGGCTATAATCCCAAGAAGAAAGTCTTCAACCAAGAGATCGAGCTTGTTCATGGTTTGGAAGCAATCTAAGTCGCACAATCTGAGGCCGAGAAGTTCAAGTATGAGCATGGCGACAAATGCGGCATATGGACCGGAGAAAGTGACCAGTGGTTCGTCAAGTTCAAGAAGCGTACGCGCGTATTTGTCCCCAAGGCGTTCAAATTCAGTCGCCTCATTGCTGGTAAAATTCCAGGCTCCTACCCACCGCAGCTGGAGAGGTTCGAGGACGATCTGCTATATCTTGAGTGTTGCGTTACATCAGTATTCCCATGGTACCGTCCTCGAACCTCTCCAGCTGCGGTGGGTAGGAGCCTGGTAAAATTCCCACTGGACATCACTCAAACAGATCGCGCCACTCTCTGGGCCCTTTTCTGCACTGCTGAGGCTTTGTACATGTCTTCCAGGAATAACCGATTCCTACGAACTATATAACTACTACCACCCCTCTGAAGTTGGCGCTTGCATCTGCAGCGGCATGGGTGGCACGGAAAGTCTCACGCAAATGTTCAAAGACCGTCGCGAAGAGAAAGACGTTCAGAACAATATTTCGCAGGAGACGTTAGTCCACATTTACTTTCCCTGGCGAATATACATAATACCCTATCACCAGGTAGACGGCCATAGGCCACTTTTCAAATTTCAAGACTTCATTCTAAGCTAATGCCTGCCTTTACAACATGCTGCAACGCGTCAAACTGCTACTCAGCAACTTGAGAGCGCTACTAGGGAGAACTACGTACGTTCAATCACTCTTTTGTTCATTAGCCTTTAGCATGCTCAGACTTCTCACAGCCAGTTTATATGTTGATGTTATCAGGTGAGCTCCGCAACGAGAATTCTCAAATCCATACCCACAATGCTGCTAGTCTTGCATTGAATAATGCACTCTCTGCCCGTGTACGTAAACGCGTTTTTCGTGACCTGTTATGATCTTGAAACATCTTGTATAGGATGCAACAAGGCAACTACACTGCAAGACGGCTCGGTGGCCGCAACGACCCACGGCGTTAATCCTAAGGGTATAGCCTTCTACTCCAATTTCATCAATGCACTGCTGGAACATGACATAATCCCATTTGTTGTATGTAGAACATCCGCGCCTCCTTCAGCACGTTCTCACTATGCTTTCTCAGACTCTATACCACTGGGACCTTCCCCAGGCCCTGCATGACAGATATGGCGGGTGGTTAAACAAGGACGAGATTGTTCAGGACTATGTCCGCTATGCTAAGGCGAGTTGTCCTGTAATTATACGTATAGTTTGAAATGAGCAAAAACATGGCTACTAGGTCTGCTTCCAGGCTTTCGGAGACCGAGTCAAGCACTGGTGTGTACTCCACAGTAATCGGGTATTCGGTCATTTCATCAACCATGCGCCTTTAGGCTGACAGTGAACGAGCCATGGTGCGTCTCAATTCTTGGGCATGGAAGGGGCGTCTTCGCGCCAGGACGATCAAGTGACCGAGGAAGTTGATTTCACCCCACAGAGTCGGCCACAGCGTCATTTTATCGCACACATATGCAGTCAAGCTTTATCGCGAGGAGTTCAAGGCCGTGCAGGGTGGCCAGATCGGAATCACACTCAATGGTGACTGGGCCATGCCATACAATGATAGCCCACAGCGTAGGTATGATTTTTGGTTTGCTCGGATATTGATAATGCGCGGAAGCTCCTAAAATAACCCTTTCAAAACCCCAACCCGTATAGAAAAATCCTCTGTAATGATCTAGCATAATGATCTAGCGCTGTCGTGTATGCAGACATGCCGGGAGAACTCACGAAAGGTTGTGGTGACATCGTTGCGAATCCATTCTAAATCCAGGTGATCAATTTTACTTCACTTGATGAATCAAATCATGACAGAACCTGCGATGGCGGCATCATCTTGACAGTCTGGTCCGGGATGAATATCTGAAATGCAATTCGAGTCTGCGACTCTGTTCCACGAGGTGTGAAATCAATGCCTACCCTCTCCTCCTTTCAAGGGAGATGTCTGAGCCAACCTCCTGCAAAACTTGACTAGTTCGACCATGATGTCTAGGTCTAAAGATCGACAGGGTATGTCAGAGTGGTGATATGTACGGGAAACGTTTGCCTTACCGAAATTATTCTCGAAAACATGCGGGTCAATCGCAAGCGAATCTTTGGATGTAACATGGTATCAAATGCATTGGCGAAGACCTCCAGGTTAGTTTTGCTACTTACTATGGTTTCACGGGAAAGCGGACAGTTGGTGGCAAAACAGAGCGAAATATGCTTCTTCGAGGCATCCTACCCCTGCGGGGGTGCTGTCGAGCCATGAACATCAAAATCCGCCTGAATGCAGCGACAAAGGCGATACGTACGCTTTGCTGGACCTGGACCCAGTATGATTTCGAGACTCAGAACCATCTCCCGAAGATGCTCGGCTTGTATCTTGTACTGCGCGGCGAGTCCCGCGTCCTGCACATGCACACATTGAGTTGGGTCTCATCAAACGCGTTCTTAAGGCGCCAGCAAGCCTTCTATGCCGCGTGGCAATCAACTTGAGGGTGCTGGTGGGTGAATACAAGACATTACGCTGACACAGTTTACCCCGTGTGTATCAAAGAGTGTCAGTTTGGCATATGCAAGGATATTGCAAAATCATGAGTATAAGAAAACGAGATAGCTGGAGGGCAAGAACATCAGACTCATCTTGACAACAGGATGAAAGAGGAATGCAAATGCAACTTGTAAATATGTACCAGACGACAGCAATAATACTACGACGTAGAACTACACACCAATATGAATGAAACCATCCTCTGCTCGAGCGGCACTTTCGTCTTCACAGCTTGTGTAGCACGGTTGAGTGCTCAGGCTGCCTTCGTACAGTCCATGGCACCACAATCCTTCAAATGTTTGAACATATTCCTGTAGAAAGCTTCGACGACGTGTTTCGCGACAGCATCGTTAACTTCCCACAGCGTGCCAACGATGCTCTTGAACCCTGAAAGCTGGAGGCCAGCAGCAAGATGAATGACTTCGTCGGGCATCTCCTCATCGCCAACGGCGGTATGACAAGCGGACAAGAAGGCGAACTCGACGTGCGGAATGTCTCTCTTCATGATATCGAGCAACGTCAGAGGTTCATCTCCCATGACGAAATGGGAATTGTAAGGTCCTGCTTACCATGACGAAATGGGAATTGTAAGGTCCTGCTTACCATGACAAGCGAGGTGCACCCAGGTGTTCTCCTGCAAAGCTTCGAGCGCGCCTACGCGTGTGGCTACCTTACCAAAAATAATTGTACGGGTGGCTATCGCAGGGACGAGCTTATGGACAAGCTTGAGCTCGCCGTCGACAGCCAATAGTGCCTTGCCTTTCCCAGCATCCGGTTGGCCATGTCCGATCGCCACGAAGGACGAAGGCACACACGGCTTCATCATCCGTCTGGATCAATGCCGAAAGTGTCGGCGTGTAAGAGCAGATGTAAAGATCCTCCAGGCATGGCTCCAGGTTAGAGTTATCTGCCTTCGTTCGAAACGGGTGAGCTGCGTGCAGAGGAATGGAAGTAAATACCGCAGTTGGACACAACCAGATTCGAGAACGAAATTTTAGTTTCAGGTTGTGCTGGAGGACGTTGACAATGGGTAGCATGGTCTCGTCCCATACTGTCCGCAAGAGGACTATTAAATCGTTCCGCGGCACTTTTGGGCCTATGATAGATGTGTATCGTATTGCCTTGGTGAAGCGAACCTTGAGATTATTTAGATCTGCGAGAGTGACAGACGGTAAGGGAGTGTGATGGGGCTCTCCTGACGTCGGGACAATGATAGCGCTGCACGAGTATTTACGGGCAATGAGGATGATGACTGGGCCATGACGTGCAGCCGCTTGCAAGTCAGCATATGACGGCGGGAGCAGGAACCGCGAGAAAGCTTGAAGATTCCGGATTTCAGCTACTGCAGCCTCCCACCGTTCCGTAAGTTTCCTGTACTCGGTTGCTGCCCGATCAGCAGCAGCTGTGTCAGTGATCGGTGCAGAGTTCTGTGCGGCATTGGAGACATGCCCGCTCAGCTCTAAATAATTGTGCGCCAGTTTCGGATGTGCTGACTCGAGGTCTTCAACAGGAGTCTTGAGTCGAGAGGCTAGTGACCATTGATGGCTACGGCCCTGCTCCACGAGTTCCACTGCTTGTCGCAAATTGTCCCAGCGGATGGCACATCTACAGGTAGTGTTCTGGAATAACGGATGTTAGCGGCAGCTTTGCGCCGTGAAGTTGCCGATGATCGTGTCGACAAATGAGCATCCAGAAGCTCGAAAAACGTTGAGTAGGCCTCTAGTGCAGATCGATGATCATGCTGCTCCAATATTGCGATGGTCCAATTATGTGTCAGATGGATGCGATCTGGGAATCCTAGTGGGGTGCCGTGATGCCAGTCTGAAGTTCTCAACAGCGAGTGACAAATCACGAGGACTGACTTCTTAATAAGATAAATAGGCCATCTGCAGCCGCGAGTAACTGAAAACATGTCCGGGTGCAGTGAAGATAAAGCCACCAATGATTCTTGACAGAGATTGATGGCCTCCTCAACATCTGTGTTCTTCCGAGTGTGCCTGAAACGAAAGCAGAGTGCGGCGCTCAAATTTTGATGAGTTCTAGCTCCACAGTACTCTGAGTCTCTGGATGGTCATCACCCGAAAGGATTCGCGATACCGATGGCCTCGTTAAGATCCTTGATGACATGAAATTTGTTATATTTGATATTGAGCGCAAGAGCAAGGTTGCTAAGCGCGGCGGCACGGTCTACGTGGGCGCAATGCCAGTGCCTCGCGATAGAGGTTAATAGCTCGGGTAATATCGTCACTGTCGCCACGTGCGTGAAAACGGGTGACGAGGGCGGTCCCTAGGTCGTGCAATGAGCAATCACGAGATTCATGCCCAACAGAGCACAGGCGCAACGTTTCTTCGTGCAAAGATATGGTTTCATCGAGGTCATTAGGTTTGCCTTGGTGCTTGAAGCGGACCACGAGTGATGTGGCTAAGCTGGTGAGGTTGTTGGTATGGAAAGGATGTCCTCGGGGCACAGGGAAACAGCTTCATGACGAAGTTGTATAGTCTCGTCTATATCATCAACGCTGCCACGCTGAGTGAATCTGGCTCCTATTGCCCGTGCAAGTAAGTGAAGGGCCCTAGGACGAAGTTGTTGGCCCACAGGATAGAGCTCGAGTACATTTCGTCGAAGGTGGATGCTTTCATCAGATGTGTCGATTGGGAGATTGTTGTATTCGCTGAACACATAATCGACTACACTGTCTATGCTGTTGCTACGAAGGTAGGAGCCCTCTGGACAAATGGGCAGTAGCTTGCAGCATAGCTCTGCGGATTCGTGAATGTGGACAGCGGTATGCTCCTTCCGGTAGCGCGAATTCAATGCGGTGATGAGATTATAGAGGGTTGATGCGTGATCAGGGTGACCCTGGGGACGCAATGCAAGGGTTTCGCGAAAGCGGGAAGTGGTGGTCTCAATATCTTGAAGATAGCCTTGGATATAGCTTTCAAGGCGGGCATACGCGAGGTTGGTGAGAGCCCCTGCATGGTCAGGATGATCGACCGGACGCTGGTCCAGAACCAGCTGAAAATGCTCCACGGCACGGCACAGGTGAAAGGGTCTCTTGAGTGTCACGTATTTGGCAAATTGTGCGTGGCCCATATCTGTGTCTCGAGCAATCTCGGAGTCTATGAGGGACTACAGTTGGCGGGCCGTCAGTAAACGCTAACAACAGATACCAGCATCACTCACATAAGACAGTGCGCCGTCCTGATCGTCGCAAGTATGTACAATGGCGGCCTTCAGCGTGAGGGAAGGGTGGACACCACGAACGGGTGGGAAGGACAGTGCTACGAGATGTCAGTTTGGATGTAATCATGATGAATGAGGAGAAAGTCACTCACCGAAGGGTTCATCTCCATGACCGAGTAGCTCGTCCCACGACTTTTGGAGTTTCCCGATGACCTCTCCACTGCCTAGCATTTGGTCAACCTCATAGGATGCCCTGATCTCCACTGAGAATGCAGGTGATGCATGTGATGATCTTGAAACCGAATATCAGTTCTCAAATCACGTCCAGAAGTCGAATTGTAGATTAAAACATACAGAGTCACAGTATCACCCCACGCTACGGATTTGTCAGATGATAGAATTTTGATGGTTGATTTCCAATGTCTCTTCGGGTCGATATTGATGGATATGTAGATGCCTGCGGGTATGCGCTTCGAAGGGACTTGAAGATTCTTTGCGCTGATATAATAGTGGATACAATAGTACCAACTGTCCAAGAACCTCAATAGAGCACGTCAACTGACTCTGTAATGTAACAGAGATGTGTTTGCGCTGGAGTGACGTGAACGGGCGCGTACATAAGAGGTACTCAGTACTAACCTCATCTTCCACGTATGACTCAAATATTTGACAGAGCTGGAGAGTACGAGTCAGCCGCGGCGGGCATGGTGCGGTCGGTCCGACTTCTAGTCTTTGGGGTTGAAAGTCATGTTCATGATGTAGTGCGTATGGCCTTCATAGACCTGGCGGGGGTTCAATGAGTCTGAAAGTAGACTAAATCAACGCATCTGAATACATTTCCACTGCTTGTCCCAATCCCAAGCTTTGATGGTCATGTCATCACTCCCAGTGAGCACAACGCTCGCGGTTGGGTGCATAATCAGGGTGGGCCTCGAACGCGACGACCTTCTCGTGTATATTGGGTTAAAGACGTGCAGCTGGCCAGCAACAAACCAGTTTCTTTGGGGAATGAACTGAACGCAGCGTACAAGGACAAAAGAGACCTCGAGAGTCTTGACAAGTGCGCCAGTTTCGTGGTTGTAGGTGTTGACGGAACTGTTGTACAGACCTGTTAGGTCACGAGGGTGGAAATCAGCGCCGTTGACCCGGTCGGATTGAGACAATAATTTTCGCTTCTGATGTCTAGGTTAAATTTACAAAGGTAGACGGTACACTGGTTCTGGGACTTACGTTGAAATTGAATAATATGACATCAGTGTCGTTCAGTTCGACCTGGACAGCGTTCAGTACATCGACCACTTATGGATATTTCTCCACCCCTCGAAAGAGGTTCATGAAACGTGGCTTCCGATCGGAGCGCTTGGACGTCAGCGAGACAAAGTTTGAATGCTTGATCAATTTCCTGATGAAGATGTCCGTTAGTGCACAGATCTGAGCGGGTCCAAAGGCAGGGTTCTTCGGAATGCATGGTCGATTGGTTCAAAGCAAACAAATGCGAATCATACCATGGTCCTTCTCTGAGACATGGCGTCAGCATCGTGACGTTGAGATGCACGTTAAAACATACCTACTGACGACGTTGAGCCCCTGAGACCGCCATGAGTGGAAGTGAATTGTACCCGAGACCACTTCAGACACTCTGAGATAACAGTAGACACACTGGCACCCACCTTCGCCCAAAATTCTAGCAAGATTATACCGGACTTCTGGTAATCGCTACTATGGGTGAGAATATGGTTCAATGCACGAGTGTCCATCGTGAACAATTGGTCTGACTGGTCACAGTAATGGTGATGCTTTGATATAATCAAGCATGCACGCTGCATGTTCTGCATTATGGATGAAACACGTTGCACATCGATGACCAACTGTTGACTCAGCGACGTGGATCATCATATTCTAGATGATTGTGTGAGTTATTCAAAGTGAATGGGAGGAAGAAGATAACGAGCCTAGTCTATTTCAAAGTTTAAGTCACTTATGGACGTCCACTCCCAACCAAGTAGACTCTCACAAGGTCTTGATTCGTCGTCGTCCTTCCCGTCATTCGTAGCAGGAAGTCCGTAAGCTTCTGTGCATTAAGGTTTGTGTAGGGCTTTCAAGAGACTGTTTAGGCTGGATACTGGTGTGAGTGACACGAAATGAGACAACGTGGAGAGGTGCAGTTGGGTCGGAAGAGCAGCCAAGTAGGTTGAAATGAAATGAGCCACGTTGAAGCGTTGATAACGAACATAACGAAATCCTCATAGACCGCCGCTTGATGGGGCTGCAGTCCTGTCGGTTTGATGCGCAGAGGATCCGGAAGACTAGCGGGGAAGTTTGAGGGCGGAGCTGCAGGATCCCAAAATGCCCGTCCGCTGCGATGATGTTGGAAGGTAGAGGTCAGCTGCAGTCTAGTGATATATATCAAGCAAAATACCTCACGCTAGCGATGACAAGCCTCATATGAAGCGGCAAAGGCCTCGTCCACATGTGTCACTGCTCGTTCCATAGCAGCTTTTCAATCGCTGTACAGGCAACATCCACATTGTCTTGCACGAAAATGGTCAGGACTTGCTCGTATATCATTTGCTGGAACGTTGTAAGCAATCATCCAGCATCCCAGGTGTGCCAACCACTTACACCATTGAACCCGTGGTCGACCAAAGAAAAACGCAAGTGACCTCCGAGATTGCTTTTCAAGGGTTCCTAACAGCTGACCAGTGCGAGACTCCCAGCAAGTTTCTGCGCCGTCAGGCACCCAGACTTGCGCAACTTCTTATCACTAGGCTCTGCCGTGAAGTCCTTGGCGATAAGCTCGCGAGTCGAGATGCTAGCAATCGTTACAGACCTCTCAACAACTGAAACGATGATCTGGCAGACACCTCAGATTGATGGAGCAGAAATGAACGTGGAGTCATTTAGTTCCCGGACGGCACGGTCAACAGCAACTTGGACTGCAGAATCATCTTAGTTGCTGCGGTGGTGGCGCCTTCGATCTGAATGTTATGGCGGGTGCCTTTGCATGTAAAACTGGCAAGTAGTGGGATCAAGGCGATGGTGTTATTGTTGGGAGTTTCGATTCGGGTGACGACGGTGAGGAGATTCCAAGCCTGTACAATGAAATGCCACGGCTGCATCTGGTGCACGTGTAGATCTTGGGAGTCTACAGGATGAAGAGGTTATATTGCAGTAAGCTATATGCATCCGTTCGAACAACTTACACGAGTAGCTACTTGACACCAGAAGCACGATATGCGGACATACAGAATAGATAGCAGCCAAGAACTGGGAAGTGGCAACCGCATTATCACAAGCGGATGCAAGGGGATACATTTTGGAAGCCATGGAGACATGAGTCGGACCCGTCTACACAGTGCAGAGGCACCGGGAGGCTATACTGTTGAGGAAGGCAGTGATTACAATGTGGAGTATTCTTGCTGCAACGTGATGGAGGTGTGAAAATGAACAGCTTCTTGTCCGGGGCATCTATGGAAGCACAAGGCAGGTTAACGCCACGAAGAAGCATCAAACATACAAAACGCGCACCTGTCCAGCTTAGAGAAAGATACCCTCAAGAATCCTCAATACCGTGAACCTCCAGTAAAATGACGAAGCTCATTCCAAGCACAACGCCCCTGCGAGAGTTCAAAGGTCATGAACAAGGCGTAAATGCAGTTGTAGGTTTCCTGGATGACAACAGATCATAACCAGCTCGGGTGATGCGGCATCAAGAATATCACGAAACCGGCAAATGATAGCAAGCGGTGATGAGAAGGGAGAACTCATTGCCTGGCACAAAGAATCACTCACCCAACCAATCAAAGGCCACTCCAGTCGGATTGGTTGGCTGGACTGACTTTCTCCGGATGGAAGAGTGCTGGCCACTGGCTCAGGGAACAAAATTATGAAATTTTGGAATACCGGAACCTGGGAGCTGCAAGGAAATGCAATTGAGTGATGCGCAGATCGATAAGAAGCAATTGAGAATCGAGAAGTCCTTGACGCGGAGTGACAAATGGGCCATGGCAAAGGGTTCGGCCTCCGCCGAGACCGTTTAACCCCTTGCCATGATGCAGCTGCCGAGCCCAGGCTTCTGTTGTGAGCATGTTTATTTGATGCTTGTTACTCACAATCTGTCATTAAAAGCGGTTGTCGTGGCTGTCACACTCATAGTGAGTCGTCAATCTTGTCGATCATGTTTTTTTTTTCATCTCAACGATTTTAGCAAAGCCCTAGCGAGCGAGGTTCGCATCTTGCTAGCAGAGGTAGGAAAGTAGAGATGAGCGCAGGCAGCTTCAGTTGTACGCATCCACCTTTATCTGCTCAATGTACGCAGCTGACTGCCAACGCGAACAGCGAAATTGCCGAGCTTACGGCCGTAAAATCCAAACATGGTGTAGGAGGTGAATATTCAGGCCGCCTGTGAGTGCTATAGGATCTTAAGGCATCATCAAACTCTGATGAGCTTGTAGCCCCAGGAGCCGCCTTCGCCTTCGCCACCACCTCCACCACCTCCAGCTTCCCCTCCTCCAGAAGAAGGCTTAACCGGCCCCACTCGCCCAGCCTGGAGGGTCGTCTACAAACCACAAAGGCGAGAAAAACCAACTCCCAAGGGTTTTCCTGCTCCGACTGTCGTTCCTGCGATCGAACATCTAAAGCCAAATCTGCCCACATGGGCAAAATGGAGGCGTATATGCTATGTCGCTTCTGATTTATACCTCATAATTGAAACGATTTCCATGCTTTAGTAAATCCTGCGCACATACCAGCATCAATGCCTGCGCCTTTTTCGCCCAGGCCTGTGATGCTGGCTGCACGTCTCGGTCTTTTCGATACGTCCCTTGGAGTAAACACCCCACGCTCTAACGAAACAATGCCTCGTGGGGGCTCGCTACGTAGCTTATGAGGATCACTGAATTCCCTTCACATTGACATTGACCTATCCTTTGTCTAGAACCGACCCCGTAGCAAAATCCCGGCTTCTCTCCTCGTACGAAACTTCCCCCACAAACGGTAGCCACAAGTTGCACATACAGCTTATATACGACATCTGTTGCATGTAGCTGAGTATTGTGGCAAACTTTCAGAGAGAGTCCTGGGCCTTATTGTGGATCGGGCTTTGATGATTGATGTGAGCGTGCTCTTTTTTCTGGGTGATTTGATTTCAATTGCCCGTAGGGATTCAAGCAGAGCTTGAAGATACCGAACCTACGGACTGCGAAATTTTCGAATCACCGTACCCTGTGTATACCGGTGTAGCACTCGGTAGCATTGGCCCGCAGGCATTGCATTCCCCTTTTGATCCCTTCAAACTACCACGCTCAGGCGAGTACATGCACCTTTCAGGGTGCAACCAAATGCCTTACCTGAAGTGGTTGGTTCTGTCAGAGCTCCTTTGGTTCTTTCGAGATGCTTTTGCAGCTTTCCACCAACCTCAAAACTTCTCAGTAATGTGATCGGCGATTTGGATGATAGAGCATAAAAATACGAAAGCTGGGTAGAGAGCTGATATGGGCTAATAATGGTCCACCAAAGGACGAAGCAGAAGACAAAAGTGATTGCAGATTAGGCACCCGATGTGCGTATCACAAGCCAAATACATGAACATATATTGAGAAAGCTGATTCGCTCAACCTCTGAACCGGCTTGGGAGAGACTTGGCTCATACAAGCAAGAACCGTCATGTGGGCCATGATGGCGCCGGGAAAAACTTGAAAGTGAGCACCGTACATGAAGATTGGTTGTAGGAGACCCACGTCCAGCTTTCTTTAAACCAAGCGGGCGTCCGCGTACATCTACTGAAATGACCATCCGAACCCTCTGGGACTGGCGCACTGAATGCATGCGTTCAGATTACATTCCAGGTATTTAGAAATTATTACACAAAAAGACTTGTCATGGTTCGTTATTGTAAACTGCACGGAATATGGTAATCATATGGGCCCTGTCACTCAAAGCGGTCAGAGCGGGAATGCTCTCCGCAATGGCCTCCTCTGTCGAAGTGTGCGCTACAATTGGAAGACCGAGTAGCGGCAGGGGTGGCTTAGAAACCAGACATATAGGTATTTCTGTGCTTCCAAGTCTGTTTTGTTCTCTACGCGGGTAATTTGGCGAGCAAATGGCTGCAAGTGAGCTGCGACTTGTGCACGCCAGGGCTTGGGCATCGGGTTGTAATAAAATAAATGGCAAACAGAATGTGTTGAAATATCAGTCTTTTGATCACCCGAAGAAGCGCACCCATCAAGCTTGATTCTGCTAAATTCCTTCATCGGAGCAAGCTCGAACTCCGCGTTGTTGGCGGAGAAAATATACCATATGGCATTTGCGTACGTAGAGTACCCTAAAATTGTTTTCTTCATCTCTCCTCTATGGCTCGACGGGGCCTTCCAACTCCACAGCAGCGTCCATCAAGAAAGACCAATTGTCACGGTGAGATCAATTTAGATAAAGAACTTATCATACTCATTATAGCTCTCCCGATTATCAATGCTTGGTACTATTGGCGGTGCAGTGGGCCGGGGTAAGGCCTTGATTCGAGGTCCAGAAAAGCTGATACCACCTCTTGGCACGCAGCACTCTAGTCATTCTCTATGGCAATAGGATTTTTGGGACTGAAGACTCCTTTACCCAGGCTGACGAGAAAGGGAAAATCAGGAAATATCACGTTGACATTAATCAATAATTTACGTCCCTCCAGAAAGGCAGGATCTGGATACTTGCGTCACTCATCTGTGGTGTCTAATGAGCACATCTCAATCATGCGAGCATCTGGTGTGAGAGGACTCTTGACCATCTCTACCGGCGTTTTTTTCTTCATGATTTGTCTTTGTTTGGCATAATGGCGCAAATATGCTCAGTATCTCGAATACGCACAGCTCTGGTAAAATCGTGTGCATCTTTAAAATTGACGCATCGTCGAGCTTGCCCAACACGGTGTCGAACGTTGGCAGTGGAGGGATCAAGATGAATAGTGACCGCCATAACATTGAGCTGGTTGAAAAGCGTAGAACTTTCCCGCCCGGTCAGCTGAACGCCAGCCAACTGGGACGACCATGTTCAGCATTTTCTTCACCCGTATGTCCCACCGTTTGTCTCCATGTCACTTGCGCTGTCTGCCTGCACAACTTGTATGATCATCTTGAGGAGTGCCTCAAACACGTCGCCACTATCTTGTACCAAAAGCAAAGATATGTCCCTTTGAAGTTTGCAATATCAGGCGGCGTGCGTTGTATGAAGACAGATAGACTTACTCTGACCCATCCTCATCTTGTCTGAGCTTAATGTCCTGGAGGTTGAGTCCAAAGTCGTGCCCGCCAAGTGAGAATGAAATTCGGGGGTTAGAGTCGCACGGAAAGGAGAAGAAGCAATCCGCTGCAGGGCCAGCCTTAAGTATCTAAAACTTGTCAGCAGGGTGGCGAGAGAAGGAAATAGCGGGAGACTGACATTGGCGTGGATCAAGGCTGCCAATGTCTGTGAAACGTATATAAAACTAGGACCTGTGTCAATCGCCTGTTCACATGGAACGAAGTGAATCTGCGTGGATTTCCGGCTGATGCGCTGGACCTTACCGCACCGACGTTACCAGACACGTAGTTCCCTTCAACAATGGTTCCGTCGAAATGAATTGTCCAGTAGGTCTACCGATAAGAATTAGTTAGACGGGATGCTTGAAGGCGCAGAAAGGGCAACCTTGGAGATAACTGATACCTATTCCACCGCCTTGACTCTTGGCCAATCACTCACCTTCCGTATATCGAGAGCGCTTATTTGAAAAAGAACTCTTGTCGCATCCTGAAGGCTCCAAAGACCAGCTCTGTTAAGTTCGGATGATAACGGAGCAAGTTACTAACCGTAAACATTTCTTTCCAAATTTAGTCAACATGTATCGTTTTTCATACCTACCGCGAACGCCCGAGTCACATCGAATCTCGCCAAGTCCAGGTCGAGCTAAAGCGACGCCGAGTCGGCGGCGTGGGAAGTGCTAAGAAGTTACCTCCCCCTCCTTTAGTCCTTGCTCCCAACGACACAAGAAATGGCCTCGTTCCGCATGCTGGACCGAGCCCAATGTTATCATCCTCCAGTGGAGGCGACAGTATGAGTCTGCCTTATGCGCATTCAGGTGCAAGAGGGACGCCGGTCGTGGATGAGATAGGGGACGATGATGGACTCTCCCTGGACATGGACCAAGAATATATGCGACCACGGAGTCCTGAAGAAAAGCGCGGCGGTGTAGTTTTCGAGGACCTCAATCTCGGTTTAGATCTGGGAGATGAAGATGAAGAGGTGCGTTTCCACTGTCAGTCCTACGCCTTGCCACTGAACTCTATTTGTAGTACGACAAGAATGATCCGAATGATCAACGCAGAAGCCGATATCTCATGAGAGCCAAACTTGACGATACTGAACGGGTATGCCAATAATACATGTGCTCATCTCGCGATTCTGACATCTAGGAAACTAGACTTTGGCACAGTTTTTGAGACACATCAAAACGGATGATTTGGACCAACATATTACAATAACTCATGCCTGAATGAAGTGCTGGCCAAGGAATTCTCGTACCTCGATACGGTGATGGATTCTAGGTCAGAACACCCTTCAGAATATTGCAGCTCAGTACGTGTTTCATAAAATCCACCCTATGTGCAATGATCCGTCCGATATGCAGGCCAATACCACATACGGTTCACTACGATATCCGATACTTGTTATCGGGAAGATCACATATGTATAAGTCCTACTTGATTTGAACTGAACCTGTTGTATAGATACATGCAGCATCCACCGAGCATGCTTGGTTACACAGGCTGGGCTACGTGTGTTCTAGTTTTTGCGAGTTGGGGATACATGTATCAATCCAGCAGGATCCACTTCATTTGGACAGAGTGAGTTACCCTCTTCTCTTGTGCTGATACAGTATATCGTCTTCACAGATGCTAATCAATAAAAACTGGGGTGGCCGCCCAATCCAAGACTTGTTGATGGTGTAGAAGTATATACTTGAAGAAGACCCAAGGGTGAGATTCTGTGTTGTTCTCAAAGCATCCTGACGTTCACTTCATTGTATAGATCAACCAGATCTGCACAGTAGCTGCTGGTGCGAGCTACTGCGGGTATACAATCAAGTAGGCGTTATGTGCTTCATTATTTTCAACCTCTCGTATCTTAATTTTCGCTGTTTGCAGCGGGATCCAAGGCAAGCCAGGTGCATCCTTCTACTCACACTACCTTACATATGCTGATGCCTTGATGATCTCACTGATCAGATTACCGAAATACAAAGGCGCTTAAGAGCTGATATAAAGTTCTTGCCCTCTCAATAGTGACCTGGATCTTTAGAACGTGACGGCTCTGCTGGAGGCAGAGGTGAGCCGCTTGTAATCTACCCCAAGCCTATCCATCCTAATCTATTACACGTCGATTCCGTTCTGATCTTTGCTCCCTCTGCTAATGCGACGCCATGTGCGTTACTGTCAAGATCATCTGGTTAAGTATACCTCCAGCGAGCTAAGGGCTAGGAAATTTTCACGACATTCATCAATATTCGAGTCGTTGAAACATCACCGTTCCTCAATAAGAAAAACTGGCCCCCAACAACAATACATCGTCTTTTAAATTTTCGACACTACTTTCACAATCGAGTGACTAACCTACATGTTCCTCATAATGTTGCTCTAATTCTAACATTGAAGTGTCACTTTAAAGCGCCTTCTCATTCATCCATGCGCGCATATTTTAAGCATCCGTCATCACGCAAGATCAAACGTCCGGTTGAGACGCTGACAGCATTATTGACTTTCGTGATATGTCCTCGAAGCCTAACTGTTCAAAGCTGTTTGCAGTTGCTATACGTATTCGTCACATTCGCGCCCTTCTTCGGCGGCTTTGCTTGATTCTTTGGTGACCTATTGGTAGTCAAACATTTCTTCCAGCTTCGCATTCGCGCCCTTATGAGCTTTATCGATCGTGCCCATAGTATTAACCGGTTCTTTGGCCTCTGACTCATCCCGCTCTAACTTCCTTTGTAGATTTAATCCCGAGGTGCAACCAAGAATTTCTTTTTTCTGCTCATTATGTACGTATTCGTATCTTTGGATATCCCGACTCAGGGTGTAGCTCGGATCAATACACTTAAAATGTGAGCAGCCTAGGCCTAATTAGTCCGAAAATGTCTAGGTGTGGAAAATTAATGAGTTCATACTGCGCCTACTACCTTCTGCCCAATGGCCAGCATATCTAAACCTTCCTGTGATTCATGGGTTGCAATGGACTTGATGCCACGCCCTATCATGTTCCTTTATAACAAGAGAATGCTATAAATATTTCCACCACCTGAACAATGGCTAGGTTGAACTCGCAAGTTAACCTGGCGACTACTGGTTCATACAAGTCTGCGGTACTTAAATTCAAACCGCCGCGGCATTCATAAGCATTTATCTAGTCCTCTTCACCGTTTGAACTCCTCCTCAATACTTGACCTTAACGAGTCAACATGAGTTCATATGTGAATTCTTCACATCGGCGTCACGCCTCAGCATTGGCAGGACCTGCATCTCTTGCATGGTTGGATCTGGCTTGTCCCCCAAATACAACGGTTTGACTAATTTTTATGCACATGGGTTGACAGGACTGAAATTTTAATTGGTTAGACCTCGATCACTCTGAGCTTTGAAGCTCAATACGCGTTTACATCATATAACAGCGTTATTCAGAACAAGCCGTCAGTAATTATTGAAGTGGATTGCTCTCCATGTTTGAGTGGTACGGATTATTACCACCAAATTGTGGATCCTCGAATGTGCAACGCAATCAAACTCATGGAGAACGAGTTTTCTGACATCGCTAATACCGTCTGTACAAAGGTATTTACAAATGCTATAACACAACATTTTGTTGAAATTTACGATGCCACCTGCACTAAGCTTTTTACCGATACGCAATGGAGCGGCCTGGTGCAGCGACCTTCGTCCCAAATGCAAATCGCTACACTAAACACTCGCGGTATGTCCCTGCCGTCTTTCTGTAGCTATTTTAAGCGCTCAACATATTCTCAGGCACTAATGCTGCTTTTCAGCCGCTTCACCTGGCTTCTTCACAGTGCACCTCTCTGGGCCGTGTCAGCCGGCGTTCCGCCATCACATTACCCCAAAGTCAGATTCCTGTAGCTAGGCGCTTCAACGGTGTGCAGGCTTTGACACCACCTCCGCACCTCAGTACTCATATCTCTCGGATGCCACGGACACCATCACAGTCTAGAGAGTCAGCTATGCAATGTGGGGGGAGACTAGCTAATGTCTCAAGTGCCACATCCGCTCCACTCGCACATGGTAGAGCGCTTATCCGCACTTCTAATCCAGTAAGTAAAGTTGGCATCGGTTTAGTTTTTTTCAACTTACTTGCAAACCGGACTCAGAGACCAAGTCCAGAACAACGCCCACTGGACCAATTGGATGGTCAGAATTCAGCGGCCCCTGCGCAAAGTCGTACTGTACAGTCCAATGGTACGTTTTTTCTATCTCTGCCTCCCTCAAATTTTGCACGGCTAATTTCTTACGCCAGAATGGGCCGATAGATCAGGACGCTTAGCTATTGGCACTTGCGTGCAAGTCTTGCAGCTTCCATGCTCTATTACTGCAGCTCACTGTGGCAGTTTCCACGGTCACAGACCGGCAATTCCTGAGCCTCCTCCACCGTATTGCGCCTGTCACCAACCTGGACATATTTGCATCCCAACAGGTGCCACCCATGGGCAGTCGTACTACATGGGACCTGAAGACCGCTAAGGGTTTCTTGTATAAAGTTTTATAAGCATTCTGCGATACCGTGAAGACTGTAGGTGGGCAAGTCGTTTGTTACCGTGCTTCTTGCTCTTGCTTTGATGAATTTTGTTTTTGTGTGCCTATTGCTTTTTAATAGCGACTCTCCAGTTTATTAATGGAGGCGTCAATGTAGTCAATGGTCTGAATTTTGAATTTCGTGCCATCTGGCTGTCTTGCAACACGTCGTCCAAAGTTACGTAATATGTGAAGTTAGATTGGTGGAAAGCCCGAAAGTTGCTTCCGAGTCCTCTCACAGAAACGCCTATATTCCTATTGCTGCACACACATCTGATCTTGCAACATTGCACCCACATGCAACTTGAACCCCCTGATGAGGATCTACCTGCAATCCAGGTCTCTTTGAGCGAATTTGTCTCAGCTGCAGAACGAATGTTTCTGCCGGACCAACTAGAGAATTTTCTTCGCTTTGTACTTGCTGGACGCCTCCAATATGGGGACAAACTTGCTCGTATATTTATAAATGCAAGACAAGGAGCTCTTGTACCTCCCATTTCTGAATATAAACTGTACAGAGACATCGACTCTGTCATAGGTGTCACGCACGATTTACCATTCCAATTGCCTATGGCTATCTTTCCCTTGGCATCATTCCGCGACACCCTTACTGAAGACAATCATTTAAAATGTCCTTTATCTTGTCCAAAGGTAGGTAAATTTGGTCAAACATCCAGCATTCTGACAGGCACACATTCAATACTAGGATGTGGTAGGCGTCCCGCTACACCGAATTCCTAATACAGCATTGGGAAAAGTCGATCGACGTCATATCACCCGCATCTTCTTCCCCAGATTGTATCGCCAAGGCCAAAATCCTGCCATTCCTCCCGAGACAATGACTGTGATATATGAAAAGTGCCTTCGACCTGCTGTGGTTGGTCTCAACCCCGTTGATAGAAGCCGATGGCCAATCACATATTCAACTGCCATGACTTTGTATCGTGATCGGAAGGGACGCTTTCACTTTGGCACAGTTGATTTCCCTTCCCATCTCCTGAACCAGTTGGGAAACAAACTTCTGGAAATGTTTCAGATGCAAGACGGGTTACAGGATGCATTTTTTGTTCATGAGCTACGAGGAACAAAAGGCGCATCTCATCACGATCCATGCGATGCTGGGGCAAGACGCTCGGCTCTCAATACTGTTTTCCATTTTTTTGACCAGTCGCTTGTCAGGCCAGAGGACTGGGTGGTTGATATTGGACTGGAAATCCAACACGAAGGTCACATATTGCAGTGGCTTACCAAAGGCCACCGTCGTTTACTGCAATTCCTTTTGCCATCCAGTGCGGAACACAAAATCGATTCCATTCTTGCTTCTCAGACTCAATATCATTGCGACCTCTCAGCACAATTAGAAGATCTCGGAGGATTCCGGGCCCTTCCAGGCTCTCGTGGAAAGGATGATAAAGTTTACTATATAAACGCCTATACAACGGATAAATGCGCAACCTATCAGCTCCATGACGGCATTTTCAAGCGTCGCCAGGCCTGGCACTTATTCCCAGCAAGCATAGGGAAGCTCGTAAGGGATCTCGAGCGCATTGCAGAGATATTTCGTGTTTGTGGAAATTCTCCCAATGTAGGTGGACATGAAGGCAACGCACGGCTGGAGATTCGTGTACCATTCAGTCTGGCAGACCAAGTGCTTTTGCAAATTCCAGATAGTGTAATACAAGATACGCTTGTTACCTTTGATTGCAAATTATTTTGGTGAGCATTTTGGTCGTTACCATCAGTCTTACCCAAGGTACTGACATAAAATTCAATTCCAAGGTACTTCAAGTACTACCGTATGGCTGCACTGTACCATGTCGTCAAAAACCTACAGAATGCAAACCGAGCTGCCCGTCTCCAGCATGAGTCATTGAAATTGGGTGCTCTGGTTGCCTACCAAATCAACGCTCTTATTTACCGGCCGGCAGAGGGTCAAGCAGAGAATATCTTGCTAGAAGCCTCCTGCCAGCACGTTCCTGTGGATAGTATGAATGGGCCAAGCACTCATCCAATCATGTATAGACGAGGCGCATACTTTCTTTCAGATGTGGTCAACGATGCTGGAGCCTATCGGCTTCCCAATGGCAGACCGATTGACACTGGTACCTTGCTCACTCTATACCGAAGGGATTTTATGGAGGATGTTGAGGTGGAGTTTTCCAACTCTCGTATATCAAACCAGTCCAAATATCCAAAGGTCGGTTACCCATCAAGGAAGCACAAGACAACGTACAGAATCCATGATGGTGAGGGGTCGAGCAGTAGTGAGGAGGACTCTCAAGTTGAAGGAGATGATGAGGAGCTAGAGATTATGCAGAGAAACGCTTGCAGGGCTGCCACAGATGCTCATTCTGGGAAGACTGCAGATTCGATCATATCTAGTGAGCTGTCTGCTATTCAGCGTCAGTTTGCATCCGATATCTTTCAGCTTGCACCATCTCCCAAGCTAGCCTCCAATTCCCGATGGGTACTGCTAAATACGGCACAGAGACTGCATACCAAGGTTGATATCTTCCAGTCATTGGATCTCAGTGGCATTTTCCGTCAGGTTCAATATCGTATTATTAGCGATGCCGATTGGGATAACCTGGTATTCAAACGCTACTTTCCAGCCAAAGGAGCCTCGACAGCTAAGGCTCTTCAGCAATTTCCATCTGCATCATACTATCGGCAATGGCAAGCTCTCATGGATGGGCTTGATGAAGATCGTGCAGAGATTATCCAGAACCGCCTGAGGCAGTGGTTTGACAAACTTTACTGGGTACCGCATCCTGAAAGTGACCGTATGTGGTCAACCAAAAAAAGTGGCAAGGAATGGACGATGTTGCCTCCTGGAGAGCCGGGAAATTGCCCACGCATAGCAGTCAATCCAAGATTCATTGGCAAAGATGCTGCTGTTGTACTAGCTACAGGAACTTCTTAAGATATGGTAATGAAGTAAAGTGACGATATGTAATGTAAAAGATGTGACAAAATTGACGGGAAAGCAAAAAGCAAGAGGAATAACACAACAACGGCAACAGTGAGACCAAAAGTAATCCCTACCTGCCAAGAGAGAAAATTGATCTTGGTCAAGTATTTGATAGGGATAAGACAAGTTCAGGTATAGTCGGGGCGAGGTGGATACTAGCTCATACTCTGCCGATTCAAAACTGCCATCTACTCTGGAATGGCGAGGGGTAGACTGCAGGGAGCGAGCAGGAGATACAGAACCTGGAGGCGATAGAGGTGAATATGTCTGTTGTAAGGATGCCGCTGTCTGGGAGTGCGTCCTAGATGGCAGGGCAACTTCTTGAGATGACGTCGAAAGATTCGATGAAGCTCCCATTTTACATTGTCCAACAGACTTTCTTCGCTCAAAAATGCCACTGCCCGTTCGGGCGTAGTTTAAAGGCAGATACTGTTCAGCAAATTTCGGCGTTGGAGGTATCCCAGCATCCAAGACGCTCGGCCTCCGAGGCTTTATGATCTTGTTAGACACAGGTCTTTCAGTATCTCGTCTTGGTTCTGAAGGAGCACTAGAAGACGCTGTGGAACTTGATACTGATTTCCAGGTCTTGAGAATCGATTTACGAACGCTTGTCTCCTCTGACGAAGGAGCTGTCGAAGACGATGATCGTGTGAGTGTTCGTGGCATAGTCGTGCCAGGCATAGGAGGTAATCCTCTTTGCGGCGGTGGCGGCGGCCCGAGTTGATCATGCAATGATGGAGCAGGTGGTGCAGATCCCTGGAACGAAGTTTGTCCAGCACTTGGCGTGGGAGGTTGCTGAGCCGACACTTGCTTCTACGCCAAAGTTTCTTGAAGGTCTTGACACCGACGGGAGGAGTGGAGGCTTTTGCAGCAGCCGCATCCATCGAAAAACTCGCCGAGTCAGCAGAGAATCGGCTGGAGGGTGTTGTAGAAGTAACAGAACCCTCATCCACAGATGACAAGGATGGTCTGGATTCAACAGGAATACTGGTGAATTGCCCAGTTGCAGGATCCCAATACGTCGGGGTGGAGTGCACCTCTGACTCGAGATAAGAGGGGTACCGCCCAAAAGGATCAGGAGACAACGGTATGGGGGAGTCAGTCGCCGTGTCCGGTAGCCTTCCAAACGAAGGGTGGTGGGTACATGGATGGCTCCAGATCTCGTTTGCGAATCTTGGTCTCTGTGGAGAGAGCATTGGGTGATGAAGACCGGGAGGGTGGAACGAACGATTTTGGGGCACCCGTTGACACACCGTTGATAGCAATCCAAGGTGGCGACGGAGGAAGATTTATAGGCCGATGAGATTGGGAGCTTGGAGATTGTGATGGCTTATTAGCTATAGATGAGTAGGAGGAGACAGCAGGCCACGACTTGTCGCTTGCATCGGCACGATCGATGGAGTTTCTGGGGCTTTCTTAAGCCGAAAAACTATTGACAGCTGCAATTGAACTCACCATGTTGCCTGAATGTCGCGTGTACGATCAATTGATGATTTCGAAGTTCCTCCTGCATGAAGTGCGAAGAGTAACTTCGGTCGGGCATGAGTTATTGTAATATGTTGGTCCAAGTCATCCGTTTTGATGTGTCTCGGAGAAAACTGTGTGCGCCAAAGTCTAGTTTCCTAGATGTCAGAATCGCGAGATGAGCACATGTATTACTGGCATACCCGTTCAATCTCGTCAAGTTTGGCTCTCATGAGATATCGGCTTCTGCGTTGATCATTCGGATCATTCTTGTCGTACTACAAATAGAGTTCAGTGGCAAGGCGTAGGACTGACAGTGGAAACGCACCTCTTCATCTTCATCTCCCAGATCTAAACCGAGATTGAGGTCCTCGAAAACTACACCGCCGCGCTTTTCTTCAGGACTCCGTGATCGCATATATTCTTGGTCCATGTCCAGGGAGAGTCCATCATCGTCCCCTATCTCATCCACGACCGGCGTCCCTCTTGCACCTGAATGCGCATAAGGCAGACTCATACTGTCGCCTCCACTGGAGGATGATAACATTGGGCTCGGTCCAGCATGCGGAACGAGGCCATTTCTTGTGTCGTTGGGAGCAAGGACTAAAGGAGGGGGAGGTAACTTCTTAGCACTTCCCACGCCGCCGACTCGGCGTCGCTTTAGCTCGACCTGGACTTGGCGAGATTCGATGTGACTCGGGCGTTCGCGGTAGGTATGAAAAACGATACATGTTGAGCTTCCACACACGTCACGTGTGTGGAAGCCCAACACGTATCGTGGAGCCTAAATTTGGAAAGAAATGTTCACGGTTAGTAACTTGCTTCGTTATCATCCGAACTCAACAGAGCCGGTCTTTGGAGCCTTAAGGATGCGACAAGAGTTCTTTTCAAATAAGCGCTCTCGATATACAGAAGGTGAGCGGCCAAGAGTCTGGCACATTGACCCGCTATTTTTGTAGGCCAATATTGAGATGGCGGGAGGGAGCCGACCAAACTCGGAGCAGCCGATCTTGCTGCCGTCCCTCTCTGATGAGGACGGCGAGGCGTATCCGTTGATCGTTGGGATGCTCAGTTCTGTGGACAGTAAGACGACCTCAGATATCTATTCTTAACCTACTAAGTGAGGGCGTTTCATTTTTTACTCACAACATCACTCGTTGTTCACCGCCACTGTAGTCTGACGCAACTCGTTGTCCTGCTGCCGGGCACCGCAGACCGCCAATACCTGCCATACCTATGGTACAGAGACCTCCGCCTTCAATAGATCCGCGACAACGCATTTTCGTTCGCCTCTTCGGTTCTCTCCTCACACGAACCCAGTACATCGTGATCGACCTCACGATCCCTTGTATGTATGTCTGTTTCTCTTATTTCGTTCACATTTGAATCGTCACCATCTAATCTGATTCGTTTGCTACGTCCATTTTCAAGCAAAGCATCCTGCGTATCTTCAATAAGGACGACCAGGACTTCTTCCCGATGGATTTGTCGTACGTGCTCGCAAGGACTTCGTCCAGAGAGGTATGTGGCTCTGTCAGATTGTCTGTCAGATTCTGACATATCTACTGCAGTTCCCGGGGCCAGGATCATTGGGTACCACAAGACTTTGACCCTATCGCCTGCATTGATGCATCACCACGCAAGATCAACTACGTTCTCATCTACCCCACTGCGTCTAACGTCCTCGCCAGTGCATCCAGCGAACACGCAGTTAAGCTTTGGGATCTTGCTGATACCGATCGCCCACGCTCTGTTCTCACCGGACACAACGATACAATTCAGTGTCTCACCTTCAATTCCACCGGCACACTCATGGCGATTCTATTCGATCCTCGTGCTGGTGGCGAAGCTGTTCACATCACTGAGATATTAAGGGCACTCATGCCGTATAGATGTAGTCTCGAAATGTGAATGTGTTTGACCGCTCGTCACGTTCGAGCGCACTGTTGTTTGGCAGGTGTGTTTTTCTTCTTTCTATGGCGAGTTCTTTTCTTTTCTTCCCTGCGTGTGCTAGAACTAATGCGATGTGAACGCGACAGGACGTGATGCCCAAAATGGACGGAGTCAGCGCTTTGAATCTGATCCGCCAGCCCGACCATATGACCCCCATCATCGGCATGACGTCTAATTCAAAACCGAGCGAGATTATGACGTATTATTCATCTGGAATGAATGATATTTTGCCCAAGCCATTTACGAAGGAGGGGTCGTTGGATATGTTGGAGGTGCGTTTTTTGTTTTGTACCGAGGTGTATAGATCGACATTGACACGGATGGATAGAAACACCTGATGCACCTTAAAGTCATCCAACAAATGTCAAAAGTACCTTGTTCGCTCGGTGTTCCTCCTCTCTCAGACCCGTCTTTGAGCGAGGCACTCGCAGTTGGGGCGTCGCAATTACAACCACACAATTCTTCGTCTAATCCTGGCTTCTCGTCTAATTCATCCAGTCTGCATCCGATGTTGGGAACGGGGTACGACGATGATGGACGGATTAACTCGTTGGCAGGGATGGGTCTGTCTGACGAGCGATACGCGGCTATTCTGAGAGATATCGTTACCCAGGAGAGCTTCTCGGGCGTAGGAGTTCGAGAGGGTTTTTCGTTCGGTCTCGCTGGTGCTTTGGGTCCCGGGATGGGAGGGGAGAAGCGGGAACTGGACGATGAGGGCGATGGGAGAGAGGGAAAAAGGGCACTGTTTGAGATCATCGAGTGAGTTTGAGTTTCGTCGGGTGGAAACCAGTTGGAAGACGCCTTTTCTTTGGCGCTGGTACAGCCATGCGCATGGACCACCACCACCACCACCACACCGCTACAGGTCCTACTTGCTCTTCAGTTCGTTTATTTACTTCGCATCAATTACTGCCCTCACAAGTTCAGCTACCGGCTATCAATCTCCCTCAGCGCGCATCAGCCACAACTCTCCCTCCCATGGCTGCAATGGACTCTTCGCCCTATCGCCACCTTTCTCCAGTTTCGTGGGGCCCATCGTCGTCGTCGTCGACAATCCATCGCACCTCAAATTCAAGAGACGACATATCACAGCGAGAGATGAGGCAGATGAAAAGAGAACCCACTCATCAGATCCACTCGGTCCCGCCACAAGCTCCGGCAGCCCTGTGAAACTAGCAGCGCCGAATTAGCAACTGTGCAATCGCACATTGGCGTCCTGCAAAACTTTTATCAATCGCTCTATTTGTCGCATGATACACTTTTATCATCCCACGAGACGCTGCGCGGACAGACGGATTCTCTACTTGCATCCCATTCGACTTTACGCGCTCAAAATGATAATCTATTCGCTACAAATGAGAGTTTTGAGGAATCAAGTCGGAAGGGCTCGTATTAGGGTGTTGGAGCGACAGTACGGAGACGTGCTTTTTGAGATGGTCAATTTCAAAAGGGGACGGCGCAGCAGGATAGCTTAATGCAAGGGTTGATACGGTATTTTTTAGGGGAGGGAGGTGAGCGTCCTTGATTGATTGATTTGTTGCTCTATTTTTTTTGTACTTTCCGTCTCTTCCATGTACCAATCTACTAGACCTCCACGCAGAAATCGTATCCGTGCACCTATCCTGATTATAGGTGCTCAACTGATGGCGCACCGTGACCCGCCCTCCCCGACTCAGAACATTAGACTCCGGTTCATGGCTACTTTTTTTGAGGAAGGAGCGGGTCATTATTGACCGATGCCTTCGGTGAAATTATATTGAGGAAAGAAAAAGCGAAAGAGTGATCTACACACCTTAGAGTGGCTTTGAATCGGTCGACTGGACTTCCTATCAACGTCGATACCACTACCGTCTGGGTGACTGGGAAGGTAGACTCCAACATCAACAACTATCTTGACCATCTCTTCGTCGATCTTTGCCTGTAAAGACACGTCAAATCATATCCTAGGACAAATTTCGACGGTCTCGCCTTTTCTCAGGTTTCGACTATTTCATGAAGCGCTTCAGTTTCCCAGAGATCCAGACAACCTTGTTGAGGAATCCAAATTCCCGATCGTAAAAATACACAGGCATCACCAGACGGCGAATCCACCACCCTATCAGACATCCGATCTAGCGCGAGCTTCATGAATCTTCCTAACTTCGTGTCAGTGGAGAGATGCAAAAACATGCATCGAACTCACGATTTCGGCAGCATCATCCTTGAAGCAATTGACTTTCGTGTTCCATATTCTGGTGGCAAAAGACTTGAGACACCTTTGCGGTTTTGAAGATGAACTGTGTGATATATCCTAAAGCGGACATTCAGAAACCATACCAGCAGGAGGTGACAGATACACACCGAGGCCACCAAACCAAAGGACCCGGACGTCTTGAGGAATGAAAAAGAATGTGAGGTTGACAGGACGCTGCTTTAGGACTCGATGGGCAAGAGCGGATCGTTGCCGTGTGACCCGTGTCGTCGCTCGATAAAAGTAACAGCGATCACAAGAGTGACAGGCGTTCGAATGATGATATACTGACAAAAACGTAAACTTTGGAATCACAATATCGCAGAACAACAATCACCTGCAAGTCTCGTCTGTCCACCTCGGAAGGAATCCCTGATCAAAAATTGTAGAGCTTCTGAAGTATCGGCTACCCGGTAGCATTGGACCGGACCCGATTCTGCACCTCAGCATGAGCTGCTGGGCTTTTCAAATGTTCGGCCGGATAGACCGCTATGGCTGGGTCTACCTCCCGCATTGCTCGGACTACGCCAGGCCAAGTCGACTATTGGAATGCATGAATCCCAGAGTCATCAAGGTGCTTACCCCAAGCATATTGCGCTCGAACAGGCTATGGGGGTCACTGCCTCGTGTTTCCTCGTTTTTCTTCGTTGCTAGGATTAACCCGGACCCAGGGATGGACAAGCAGTAGAGTCTGCCAAGCGGGCGGCCTTGCCCGCGGGAATGACATCTGCTTGTCTTCCGTGGGGATCAGCACATCATGAAGCCCGTCTGCCTGGACATCATATGTGGATCACACTTTTTGCGCATCAAGTAATGCATCATCCCATAGTATTTTGTTCGAGCTTGCCTTACTGCGATTTGCAAAGATGGTAGCAGTGGCAAAATCCAGGTCGATCGCCGCTGAGTATAGCTAGATGGCTCTGTCGTAATCCTCGTAGTGAGTGCATATCAACGACAAGGGTCTGCACAGAGCATCTTGTTCGTAGCCCGCCGCAGTTTCGCAGTATTGGCTGTGATCAGAATGTTTTCAAGGATCTTTAGGCGTCTTCTTTGCTTCGTGGCAGTTGTACTTGCATCTCGATCCAGGATAGGAGAGATGACTTCAAAACGAGGGAACTCGTTGCCTGGTCATTAGAAGTCAGGTTGGCAAGCACCTGTAAAATAATTCGAATTAAGGGTCAACGAGAGCGCTGGCACCACAGACCTCCAGTACTGTGCGTCGCAACGCTTGATCGCGAACTGAGCTCTGCACAAGACTTGAAAGAAGCTCCCATGTACTATGTCGGCATTTAAGCACCTTCTAATCTTCTGCGCTCATCAAGCCGTAAGATAGGAACCTGGCAATCCATCCACGCTCTTTCTTCCAGTCATCCGAACTGCCATAGAGCATGCCGTATAGCATTGGCACATCGGATCACGTCAAGTTCTGGGCGCTGAAGAAGGAAACGCGCCGTGCGCGGGTAGATGAAATCAGAAGGATAAAATACCCCACGAATAGCGTGAGATTGAATCAATGATGCGTGCGAAGGCAATCATATTAGGTTCTTCAGGAGGTTGAAGATATACAGCGCGTGCTGCTTTTCTTGCATATCCGAAAGCTGACAAGGGGTGAGCATAGCGAACAACAAGATAACGCACGGACCTCCACAGATTTCCACGCCAATGCTAACATGAATAGGCCCAGCAAGGGTACTATGTGATCCACGTTTTGCACTGCATCAAACTGGGAAGTATATTCTGCAGAGCTAGATTTACAACGACGAGCTGAAAACATACATATTGAGCCTGAAGCTGCACAAGAGGACAAAATAACATTACCTTGAGGAGTGAGCACTGCAGCCATCATCGAGAGCAGCGGCATCAGCAAGTCGGTTCTGGATGGTGGCGGTCAATAGAGGCTCTACAAAGTAAGCCTTTGCCTTGAATCCTTGCTTGGCGAATTTCGCTGCGAGCATAATTTAGCCGAGGTACATGAAAAATTCAATCCGACGCACTTCATTGGGCTAGAATTAATCGGTCTTCTCCATCTTCGCCTTCAGGGCCAGGGAATGGCGCATACCCCATTGCAGTCCACGCTCAATTCTGTCACGAGATCGGTCAGTGGAGAAAATGAGTACAAGCGAGAGGCAATGCGCACTCTTTCGAGGGTGAATCGGTCAGCAGCAGGTTGCATATCCTCTCTAGCAGGCTGGCGAGCCGTCGCTTACGAGCTGCATCTGATTTGATTAAGATGCAGATACAGCGGATGCACAACGTTCAGGCCTTCAGGGCGACGACGCTGAGGCAACATAAGATCAAAGAGCGCAGTCATGACGCTACCATGAAACAAATCAATAGCGTCACCATCCAGGGAACTCAAAACAGCATGCACTGCTGGTAGCAGAGGTTCAAGCGGAATAGTCGTCCAAGCTCCCGAATTGAACCACACGACAAACTCCTTTCTGTTTGGAACGATCAGCATGATCCCCTGGATATAGGTCGGGACTCTCGTATATCGGTTCTTTGACAGTTGACTCCATGATGGCACCGCAGGTCCCTGCTACATTGCCCCTACCATCCTCTCTCTCAGGTCAGACCGCAACTCGATTCGATCATGTTAGTCTTAGATTTCTATACTAACCTCGCAATGCATGAATGAATGCGTATCCATTTTGAGATAGGTTCTCTGCCTTCCCCCTCGAACGGAGTCGCGCAATCCCCACGGCAGTATCTCGCGTTCCTCGTGCCCAGACGCAGCCATGGTCCACAAGTCGTCGAAGTCGCACCAGACCGCAAAGTCGCTGTAGCGTACACTTTCTTACTTTTCGGTGCCTTCTTCTGATTTGTGCCCTACAGAGGCTCGTTGCTGCCAAACTACCGGAATACAAGCCATCAGGCTGCCGTGCCGGAGAAAAACGACGCATCTGACGTTGATTCACTCACAGATGAGCAGAGCCATAGCGGCGTTCATGGTTGCAGTTAACTCTATGTACATTGGTCCACCGTTGTATCTTCTATAACTGATGATGATTATACACTTATATCAATTCTACGTCATCTGCGATACTCGGCTCATTTGCTAAATCCCATCACAACTTGAATTTGTCAACATGGAAGCTAGCATTTTTGATGGAGTGGTCTCTGCGAAAGAGCGAACGCAAATGTGGGATAGGACTTCGGTTGACAAGCGCCAGCTCTGTAAATGTGACTGTTAGCGTGGCAGACATCGAGGACTTTACTCCATCCGCATCCGTTTGAAATCCCCGTTTCGAAGTGAGATTGCAGAGCAATGGTAGGATGGAGCTGGGTGATGTCCGGGTGATCAATGGGACACAAATCAAGGGCATCTTGAAACAGATTGATAGGGATGTCGAGGTCGAGGTGTCTTCCGTCAGCTTGGCAACTGACAAACTTTGCGGCAGCTAGATTGAGCAGTGCTTTGGGGCGGTGGTTATGGTCCATCGGGCAGAGATCCGAGGCGCGTTCAAGGATTGGTCGAGATCCCTACTGCTCTGCGTCCTGCAGTATCACGCGAGAAGACGATGATCGGTATTCTGACAGAGCCACATACCTCTCTGGACGAAGTCCTTGCGAGCACGTACGACAAATCCATCGGGAAGAAGTCCTGGTCGTCCTTATTGAAGATACGCAGGATGCTTTGCTTGAAAATGGACGTAGCAAACGAATCAGATTAGATGGTGACGATTCAAATGTGAACGAAATAAGAGAAACAGACATACATACAAGGGATCGTGAGGTCGATCACGTTCTCTGGTCTGAAAAGACGCGCTGACCGTGCGCTGCTTGCTGTCCATAGACCTGACCGTGGTCTTGCGAGCCTGTAGTCGCGACGAGGGATCGGATCTATATCATCTCGCTCTTTTGATCGGTCTCCTTGGCCCCGCAAACGCGCATCATCATATTCATTAGCTTCACATACATGGTTCTACCTCAAGGCTCCTCTAATTCTAACGTTCATCCTGCCTTTCAACATCAGAGTGACGAAACGACTGCGCCCTCCGCTTGTGAAGGTCGAGGCGCGCGATACATCTTCGTTGACGACGATCTGCGCTAGAACGTCGAGCGAAAGTAAAAATTTGGATGGGCCTTCAATTAACTTGGCGGGATTCCTTGAGCGTCCTAAAGAAAGGCTTCACGATTTATCAGTGTGTATGCTAATGATGACAGTTGCGCTGACCAGTTTGAAAACATCGCTACTTTTCGACGGAGAAGAATTGCGCTGTTGTAAGGCATCAGCAACATTCAATCAGACAGGACGATAAAACTACTACTCACTCTCGCTGGCTGTTAGGCCGCCATGCAATAGATGATACAGAGTGCGGTCGATCAATTGTCCTCTTACAAAGTCTGTCCTCCGTTCAGACCTTCATTCCGCGAGTTGATCTCGTCCAGAGAATGGTACAGTCTCAGACCTGTTCCAATCGCATTTTAAACATTTAAAAATAAAAACGCAGCGTTACATACCATGCGACTTTGCCGATAAAGCCTCGCACGTGTACCAGAACAGCCTGAGTTGAAAATGATTTTTTGGACCACCGTTATGCCAACGACCGACAACATCCAAGTTCTGCGCAGTGAGAGCGCAACTTAAAGTCACCCATCAGATGGCAGCGAGAAGAAGAAAAGACCGATCGAATGATATGTAAGACGCTGCGAAGAGTGGGCGACGACTCGGATCAGCATGACTCGAGCTCGAAGGAGGGTGGATGGACTCACATCCTGTGAACAGTGAGCGACGATTTGGATCAGCATGTCTCGAGCTCGAAAGAGGGTGGACGCACTAACGTACTACGAAAAGTGAGCGATGACTCGTCAGCATATCTCGAGCTCGAGAGAGAATCGATACGCTCTTGCCCACTATCTGGGCGACGACTCGGATCAGCGTATCTTGAGATCGAAGGAGGAACAGGATCGGCATTTGCCGGCTGACTTCGAAACCTCACGCGATGTTCGAAACCGACAACATCGTTCATTATGCATTAGGCGTCCACTGACACCAGCCGCCGATCTCAAATTTATTGTATTTTGACACTTATTTTTCTTATAGATTTTTCTCATAGACAGATAGGCCGTGAGGCGCTGGCCTTCTTCGGTCACACAGATCGTAAGTGCCTGCTGCTTTATATTGATTTTACTTGCCGCTGATACTGTCAAATCCATGCTTTCTTCCAGTTCAATTGTGACGTTCTCCAACTTGAAGCAGGTCCCCAACCCAGCTGCACTGTGAGTTCACCGTGTTTTTCGCGCCCGCCGCCACTCTCAGCTCATTTATGTATTAGCGGTCTGTTCTCCTTCGCGTCCACGACCTTCATTCTGTCTCTCTACAACGTCAACGCCCATGGAGTCATTCTCCCCAATGTAGTCGTCGGTATGGCCTGCTTCTGCGGTGGTCTTGCCCAGCTTCTTGCTGGTATGTGAGGGGGGCTGTTTCAATTGGAGTCAAGGGCGGGTGACTTCCTTTTTCGTTTTTGTCAAGTCTCTACTCACTTATAGCGCACACAGTCGCACCACTGGCTCGAAATATTGCAGCATTGGATGCGTTCTGTTGACCCACCGGTACATTCTCTAATTTGTATCATTGTTCTAGCTAGTCTCTGTGTAATTTGAACTGTTTTTTATTTTTTATTTTGGTGCAACTCGTGAATATCTGTTCTGCGTGCTGCAGGCCTAGCACTGAGTTCAGAGAGGGTCGCAGGCGCAGGAGAGGTGACAGAACCTCTGGCACTAACCATACCTCTTCCGAATCCGCCTCCAACCAGAACGGTGCTTCTTCCTATCCTACGAACAACTCATCTTACGAAAATACACGGCCTCGTATGAAAAACTTCCCTTCCCTCCTTCCACTCCTGACGACCTTCCCGCTTCATTTCACGTTGATTCTGACTACTTCATATGACTAGGAATTTATGCGCCCATCGCTGGCTCAAGCAACCCAAGACAAACGGAACTGCGGACGAGTTCTGTGTTTACTATGGCAGTCTCAATGAAGAGCAGAGGAAGGTATGTGATTTCGTTCCCTATGTACAGATATCTACTCATTTTAATCTAGGATTATGACAATGTAGCTAACGTTAGTGTTCCAGGCTAATCCTTGTGAAAAGATATTCATTACAGTTGAACATACACTTTAGGATAATGCTACACGACGTCCAATTCAGCCACATCCGCCTGCCCCAAGGTTTCTTCGATGCAGATAATTCTCATGTACGTTATCACTAACATTTCGATTTTGCTTTCTTGACCTCTGCGTACTTCGTCTTCTGCACGACGCCATCTTCGCTTTTCGGCGCCGTCAGGCAGCACGTTTCTCGATCGCTCGTTCGCTCGCAGCTCCTCCAATACGGTTAGAGGCGTACGTATGTTAGCATCAGCGGTCATACAAGTGATTGATGGAGATTCTATAGCGCCAAAATACTCCAAGCAAGGCACATACAATACGCAGCGCAGCACCTGATAAAATTCCCTCGTCCCTTCGCCGATCACGAGCCGGATCAAGATCGCAAGTCCCTACCGACTACCCTCCTTTACCTCCCAGCACATTGCTAAGTCCGTCAGGCCCAACCAGCCAGCCTCCTCTCTCTCCACGATCACACCATCATGCACCAAGCGTGGCACCCTCTGACTCTCCCAAGCCCCATTCAAGTCTGCTAAGATCGCAGAGAGGGAATTAAGGGAGAAGATGTGCTCGGTTGTGAGTGGCTACCCCATGAGTGACGTTGATGGGGCTGCATCAAAATGTGGAGGTTCATGGAGTGCCGCTAGCAGCCCAATGTCTCCCTCACATCACAACCGCCCATTCTCCCCCTACCGTCATACCGCCACCCAAGAACCCTTACTATTTACTACCACAGTGCAAGTCCAGAGGCAGGCATCTTCATAATCGAATGCATTGTCTCAGTTGAATGTGACATCTCAATTTTTTGACTTGATGGAGGCTCGGGATATTGTCCTCAGGGTGACGGTGAAGTGCGGCAGCGCGAGACTTGTTGAAAGCACTCTCGGACGCATGCTCGAGAGCGAGGAAAAGCGAAATTCCATGTTCAATGTCAGAATCATCTAGCCGTGCTTGTGCTTGTGGTGGGTTTCGCAAACGCTCCAATGCATCTCCGATAAGTCCAGCACCGTCGTCGAGAGTAGCATTATGCAGCGCGAGAATAAATTGCATATCTCGCTGAAGTTCAAAACGTTTCGCATCACGACCCAACTGATCTAGGTCAAGATCTTTCAATGAATTATGCCAATGTGCTGCAGGTGGTGTCTCGTCACGCTGATCTTGATTGGCTGCACGCATCTCATTATTGTCAAGATCGTCAGGCGGTCCATCAGGCTCTCGATGCTGCTCGTCATCATCACGGCCTTCAAGATCTCGGGGCAAGGCATCAAAGTCTGGCTCTGGTATGTATTGATCGTTGTCTGGACTGCCTGGGGGATGCGGAAGATTGAGATCCTACATCATAATATTAGCGAGGTAACTTAGATTGTACATTTGTCTTACATTAACAAACGGTTCTTCTGATCCACATCTGCGCTTGCGTGAAGGCCTGTCGTCATCACTGCTACTGGAAGATGTAGTGGAAGAGGGTGTACGTCCCGAACCGGAGGCAACGGGAGGTTGAGATGGTCCTGCAGCTGGTGCGTTGTTCGTAGTAGTAGCAACAAAGTTTTGAAATGACCGAGAGAGCCTTGCAGCTCGCACTCGAGGCTTCTCATTCTCATCAGCCACTTGCAGGTGTCTTTGCCATGTCCTGAGGGACTTCAGACACTTCCGCTGTCCATGACAATATTTCCGACAGCAACACCAATGTTCTGCGTCCATAGGCTAACTACAATTTCATGTGCTTAGTAGCCACATAGTAAATGAAAGAACGCACCTTTGGGAGCCTTCGGATTGATTTCGAGTAGCCTCAGTAACACAACAAAGTATAAAATCAATGTTGCTCAAGACTTGTTGAACGTACGTTGAACACGTTGAGCTGCGCAGCGTGCACAAAATCAAACGCGTCGTTCAACATGTGTTTGCGTAACTTCGATTTCCATCTATATGAGTCTACCGACTACTCGAAACTCACAAATCCGTCGACCTCCGTGGAAATGGCTATGTCCGACTTTCACTGCGGATTAAGTTTAAGCCCAGTGAAAATATAAGATCATCGTACTATTACGCGTAGAACTACGGAAATCAAAATTTGTGAATATTTGTTACTTCAAGGAATTCTATTTACCTTGATCAGATGCTTCGAACACTGACAACCGCTACATGGGCGCGAGTAGCCGATGTGATTCGCTCGAAATCGAGGGGCCTGAGTCTTGTACCGGAGTCATGTGAACGTCCTGCACAGTAAGCGTGGCGTCCATTATTCGATAGCGGCACAGGCGCAATGAAATGAGTGATCAGAGGATATCATGGCTCTCAGTACCTTGCGCTCAAAGGAAACCAGCGCGTTTCCACCCCTTTTGGATATTGTAATGTCGCGCACATCGTTCACGACGGGCGTCAGTAAAAAATATTTGAAAAGATGAAGGTAACTCACCTTTCGAACGCTTTAGTCTCCATATTGAAAACTGTGTTATATGAAGTCAATCGGATGATCTATGGATCACCTATTATGCATTTTTCAACCCTAGTGGTGCGGCTTGGATGCAACCCATTAGGTGCTGCAAGAAGTGGACGCACACCCAGCAGCTGCTGACCATCAGGAGTCGCAGCCACATTGCGCAACGGGATGCGACCGAAGTGATACGAATCAAGAACCTTGAAATATATTCAGTGGGGATTTTGCTGACGCTGAGCGATTTAATCACCCTTCCTTGAGCGTCCTAAAGAAAGTGTTCGCGATTTATCAGTGCGTACGCTAATGATGACAGTTGCGCTGACCAGCTTGAAAACATCGCTACTTTTCGACGGAGAAGAATTGCGCTGTTGTAAAGCATCAGCAACGTCCAATCAGACAGGACGATAAAACTACTCACCCTCGCTGGCTGTTGGGCAGCCATGGAATAGATGATACAGTGGGCAACGACTTAGATCGGCATGGCTCGAACCTGAAGACAGACCGACGCACTCACATCCTGCGAACAATGGGCAATCAGCGTGGCTCAAGTTCGGAGGAGAATCGACACGCTCACAGCAATGTCGATCACCAGGGCCCGAGCTCGAAAGAGGATCAACACCCTCACAATCTGCGAACAGTGGGTAAGGACCTCGATCAGCATGGCTCGAGTTCGAAGGATGATCTACGCGCTCACAGGCTGCGAATGGTAGGCAACGACTTTGATCAGCATGGTTCGAGCTCGAATGAGGATCGACGCACTCACGTTCTGGGAACAGCAGGGCGACGACTTCAATCGGCATGGCTCAAGCTGAGAAGGCGCTGACAATGTTTCATGAATGGCCATATTTCCTGAACGCGAGAGAACCCGTCATAAATCTTAATATCTTAGTAAAAACACAGGACTGTTAAATCGCTTACCAACAGATGAGGAACCAAAGACTGAGGATCAATACCCTCACAAGCTGTGAACAGAGCTGGCTGCTAGCGCAGTAGAGGTTGACGTTCTTCGGCTCCTTGATCATGGAGAACTGACGCCAGAAGAACCCCAGCTTGAGGAAACAGCAAGAAACATATACGCGCCTGCGCCGGATGCCAGGTTCCCGTATAATGAATCTCACCTGTTGGTAGTTGAGCTTAACGGTCAGCAGATCCCAGCTGGCGCTTACCCTGCCATAGGTACGAGCGAAAGACAGATCCAACGAAGGGCGCAGAAAACATGTGTCATGGGCAACGTTAATCACGTTGGATCGCCTTGAACTACGTCAGCATCATCCAAATAACACAATCGAGCATCACAGATTCGCAGGCAAGCCCTTCAGCAAGATCGACTGCCAACAGTGGATGGCATCTTCCATTATGCAATGCAGCTTTCCGCCGCAATAGACAAACTTCTTTGAGGCCAAACTTCTATTGCGGGTACTCCAAGGATACTCCGGTCGGAAATTGCGTAATTTGGAATAGGTTCGATCATATGGGTTCATTAGCGGTTTGCTGATGATGGACACAACTCCTAAGCCTACTCTATCAAAATCCAAGACCGAGGCTAGTCCTCCTGCAAATGACAACAAATTGCGATCTGACAGGCATGTTCACGATCCCTATTCATCATTGAATGAATCTGCAAGTGCATAACCATTCGCCGCATCATCAAGAAAAAACATGATGATGCCCTCTCGGACTAGGAAGGCAACGAAGTCTATGTGCGTCGCGATCAGATTCGTTAAGTGCGACATATGTGGACACACGTGCCTTTGAACCTTGCACGATTGGGCATACTGAGGAGAATGTCAGACAGGTCTACAATAGGGTATTCTGTGGTGGTGGTCGCAACACAAGTACAATTCCGATAGGTGGAAAAGCGGAGTGACGATGTGTAGCTTCGTTCTGTATTCGCTATCATCAGAAAAATCTGAGGGTCGTGATCGGCCAACTCACGTAGAATGAGATACAGGCCTGGAAGATCACAGTTTGTGTGGGACATGTAGGATACGCTGCTGATGGAGGCAAAGGTTATGAGTTGGACTGAGTCCAGAGGTTGGGTCACTCAACTATGCCGAGTCCTGGATGATGTGAACCGAGTGTGACATTTTGCAGCACGATCGAAAGTATATCATATAATGTATTTGGCCGGTTTGTACAGTCTCAATGGAACTTGCGCGACGGCGAATATTCCGACGCGGTTCGTGTTTTGACGTTCTCGGCGGGCCAAATTAGGGCGATTTCATCGCATCGATCGTGTAAGGAGGTGTATCGGACAGTTTGACACTTCTCATCGAACATGGGCCGGCCGTACGTCATACAGTCATCTTCTGTATTAGAGATATATGTTCCCTCAATGCCGCCCTGTAGAGGTTCAGGACAGGTTGAGGCCAAGCGCAGGGCAATTTGAGACCCAAAATGGGCTTCAGGAAGCCTAACCAACGTTCTTCTTGCTACCTCCTGCAGGATGCGCTTGGCACGTGGGGTGTAAGGTTCTATATTATATGGCCGTTCGCAACTGAGGTTGAGATGTTAAAACTTACGTGATTTGGAAGCCCGCCGTGCTGGCGGCGGGAAACACTAAACGAGTCGGTCAAGGATTAACAGAACGAAACTGTGAATTTCGGAATGTAGTACAAATGGGCAGATGATAGTAGCCTGTGGGCAAGAGACCCTGAGTCTGATCTCAAGACTCAGTAAGACGAAACGTAGTGGTATATATGGGGAATATTCACGTGACTGTTGATGTAGTAAGCATCCTCGGAGTCCGAACCAAGCGTCTTGTTGAATTCATCTAGCGCGTCTGAGTTTTGCACTTCGCTGGCGGCCAGCCAGACGTCTGCTTCTGGTCGGCACCCGCGCCATCGAACGAGATACTGCCATCCGCGTCCACATTGTCGGCGGTCTAGAATATGCTCTATCTCCCATTCTTTGGCACCTGTATTTGTGATGACTGGTCCCGGTCTTTCAGTTCTTGGGACGGATAGAGAGAGGTGTCGTTGGGTACATGTCGTTTCAACTCGGAAGCATGAAAGGTGGGGTGTATGTTAGTATGTTAGTATGTGTTAGTAGGTCAACTTCGTCTATCACGGTTGCAAATCTGACCGTACTACCATATGGGCCACGATATTGTTAGGCTCTACCTTGATCGAGCGGCCGGGTTAGTCGGAACTCCTTAGCAAACTCTACATAATCACGTTCAGGCTTCTCACATGACTCCGCATGGACATCGGCAAGCGACTTGCGAATCAGGGGATCTAATCAAGCAGATCTCAACTAAGTTCGACGACGGGCTCGAGCGACATTGACGCCGATATAGTAAATGATACATACATGCGAAGTTTGTGTTTACTGCCTTGCCATTAAGCAAATGTACATAAGAGGTGTTCACAACGACCAAAGGCAAAATTGTCGAGGGATTCAACTCAACAAACCCACAAATCTAACGAAGCAACAACATCTGATGAAAGTTCGGTACGTGGTTTTCGAGGATCGTTTTGTCCACTCCACTCCAAATACTAAATACTGACATCATCACATCCTTCGTCTAGCACCGACCCGGTGGCAAAGCTGATCGGTCTTTAAGGACAAGTTAAGGATCTCGGTGAGTCCACGAACATGTGTAATGAGTATCCTGGAATACGACTAAGATTGCAACAAGCGCTTGAAGGATTCCCGTAGCCATAACCCTGCTCCCTCGAATATCGAGGTAGATTCTCAAATTTGCCCTTCAGTTTCTGTGCTCTCACTAAATTTTGGTGGTCATGCAGGTTCAGGCGGCTCCGTCTGGCGTGGAAGTGGAGGTTAATACCCAATTGGCACTTCAGGATGCTCAAGAGGCTGAAAAGCACATGCATTCACTTTCGGGACCTGAGATAATTGTGGATTCTGTTCTTCAAGGCACCCAAGAGGATCTCGATGTTGTTGACAATTTCGATGACACATATCTCCAATATTCGACTCTGTTATCAGAGAGATTGCGGATGTATGCAGGCCTCCTCTCGATCAGAACCGAACTAATCTAGTTCCACAGGTTCATCCATATGCAAAGATAGCACTGGGTGCGTTATCTCGTGCAGCCAAAGTATGTTTTCATTTATATGGTCATTTCAGAAATAGGTTTCAAACTTGTGAAAAAAGTTCTTTTCATGGGCTGGTACATATCATGGAGGGTACTTCTAGGAATGATATGAGCCAACAATTAAAGAAATCGGCGGTTGGGTTGTGGAGATATGGCCAAAATACTGACTTTTTGGGTCCACCACCATATGTCACCAATATTGATCTCCAGGTGGTCCAGGATCATCACCAATCGATTCCTACACCTAAAAAACCCTAGGACAGGCCTTTACAGTATCGGTCTTAAGTTAAATTCAAGCACAGCAAAATATAGGAGGTAGGAGGGGGGAGGAGGACCTTGTATATCTCAAGAACGCGATTTTTTCTGGGAAATCTGGCTCGACCATTGTGTTCAGATGGATCAAGAACCCCCAGGAAAAATGCTTTTGTAGCACTGGCAAGTCATGGGAAGTCTGTAAAAATCGATCTTTGTGGGGGGTATGAGGCAAACTGACATATTTCAATTCAAACAGGCTAGAAATAATCTGGGACCATCTCCAATCGATTCCTGTGATCATAAAACACTAGGAACATCCTTTGATATATCAGTATTCACATAATATGAAGATATATGAGATAGGAGGGGGAGGGGGACCTTGCATATCTCAAGAACATGATTTTTTCTGGCAAATCTGGCTTGACCATCATGTTCAGAGGGTTCAATAACCCCCAGGAAGGATGCTCCTGAAGGACTGACAAGTCATGGGAAGCCTAGAAAAATCGATCTTTGTGGGCGGGGCATCAGGCAAACTGACACATCACAATTCACATGGGCCCGGATGACTCTGAGACCATCTCCAATCACTTAATATGATACAAAAACACTAGGAACATCCTTTTATACATCAGTATCGACATGGAATCCTGCCTCTGGGCACAGTAGGTAGTAGGTAGGGGGAGGGGGTAGCATCACTCTGAAATATGATTTTTTCGGACCAAACCAGTGTTCCCATCAGATTCAGACGGCCAAATAACCCCAGAAACAAGTTCTATTTGAAGCCAAGCAAGTCATATGAAAGCTCAAAAAATCAATCATTGGGTGAGGCAGCATAACAGGGGTGACATTGCTTACATAAGCAAAAGCGGTCAACTTGACCATAGGTGGGCAACTTTGCAACAACATGACTTTGCCATATCAAATTTATATGGTCAAAACTGAAATAGGTTTCAAACTTTTGGAAAAACTTCTTTTTCTGGCCTGGTAAATATCATAGAGGGTACTTCCAGGATTGATATGAGCCAAGAATTAAAGAAATCGGCGGTTGGGTTGTGGAGATATGGTCGAAATACTGACTTTTTGACCTATCTACTGTATTTTAATATTATCTCAGTATAGATGTCTTCCATATGGTCCAGGACCATTACCAATCGATTCCTACACTTCATAAACCCTAGGACAGCCATTTTTAGTATCAGCCTCAAGTTAAAATCAAGCACAGCAAGATATATGAGGCAGGAGGGGGGAGGAGGACCTTGCATATCTCAAGAACATGATTTTTCCTGGGAAAATGGACTACACCATCATGATCCGATGGGTCAGGAGCCCCCATGACACATACTCCTGTAGTACTGGCAAGTCATGGGAAGTCTGTAAAAATCGATCTTTTTGGGGGGTATCAGGAAAACTGACATAATCTCTATTCAGACATGCTGGAAATACTCTGGGACCATCTCCAATCGATTTATGTAATTATAAAACACTAGGAACACCCTTTGATATATCGGTATTTACATAATATCAAGATATATGCTACAGGTGTGGGAGGGGGACCTTGCATATCTCAAGAACATGATTTTTTCTGGCAAATCTGGCTTGACCATCATGTTCAGAGGGATAAATAACCCCCAGGAAGAATACTCCTGGAGGACTGGCAAGTCATGGGAGGTCTAGGAAAATAGATCTTTGCGTGGGGGTATCAGACAAGTTGACACATCACAATTCACGCAGGCCAAAATGACTCTGAAACCATCTCTAATCAATTAATATGATCATAAAACATTGGGAACACCCTTTTATACATTGTATTGACATGAAATCATGCCTCTGGGCACAGTGGGTAGGGGGAGGGGGTGGCATGTCTCTGGAATATGATTTTTTCATACCAAACTAGTGCTGCCATCAGAATCATATGACTCAATAACCCCAGAAACAAGTTCTATTTGAAGCCAGGCATGTCATATCAAGGCTGAAAAAATCAATTCAGTGAAGCAGCATGACAGGGGTGGCACTGCTTACATAAGCAAAAGCGGTCAACTTGAACATAGGTGGGCAACTTTGGAACATTGACTTTGATAGATCAAATTGTTGCTGCTGCTGACTTGTCACCCTTTTATGAGGATCCCATGCTTTTTGACTTTGTGCTTCTGAGGGCTTTGGTTGTTGGTTCAACCCCTTCAGGGGGATCACACTTTTTGTTGGTGTCACCCTCTATGAGGGTCAAACCATTGTTAATAGTACCAACAAGTTCCGCTTCTGGGGGCATTTTAGACTTTGTGATTCAGAGGGGTATTGTTAGTGGAGAATTGTCTTTGTGCACAAGCCTATTCAAAGACCCTTTAGGTCGAATATTTTCTGCTCAGACATTGCAGCCAGGTATAGCAGAGACCAAACTTTGGAAGATTATAGTCCATTGTCTCATTCTTGTATTACCCTCAGCTAGTGCTGCCGCGGTCCGGTTAGGTCCGGTTCATAGAGGGTTGAGCAAGAACCGAGAACCGAACCTAGGTCTGGTTCTACTAGACTCACCGAAGCTCGAACTGGACCTGGGGGCATAATTTTTTCCTGCAGGAAAGGAAGAGGAAAGGAAAAAGGAAATTATATAATTGGTTAGAAAAGGAAAGAGGAAAATAAATAATCAATTTATTGGTTATTACATAATGCAGAAGCACATGATTGGTGGCAGCGGTTATTACATAATGTCCAGGAGCAAAGGTAAGAGGGAAATTGCATAAAGGCAATGAGGAAAGTCCATCATTCACAAGTCATAGACCTAGATGCACATTACATAAAGGGAAAGGAAAGAGGAAATTATATAATGAAGGAAGGGCAAGCACAAATCATATAAAAGGAAAGAGGAAATTATGTAAAGGGAAGGAGGAAATAATATAAAAGGAAAGAGGAAATTATGTAATGAGGAAAGGGAATATTTTCCTTTGTCATAAGACTATGGTAGTACAACTTTGATTTTCATCGGAAAAGTTCCCACGGTCAAGGTGCTTTCTTGAACCATCCACTTTCGAGTATTTTGCTTATAATTCACTAGGATCTTAATCTATTGATGTCATAAGACCATAGTTAGACTCTCCTTGACAAGGGCTACAACTTTCATTTTCATCGGAAAAAGTTCCCACGGTCAAGTAAGCAAAATGCGACAATTCACCAAGTCTTTTATCTGGTAAGTCTTTCTTTTGCTTTCTCTCTTCTTCTCCTTCCCTCTTCTTCTTCTAGCTCCGCATTTTGACTATTTGGTTAGTCTTTCTTTCTCTCTTCTTATCCTTCCCTCCTGACCCTCTCCTTGTCCTAGCTCCTCACTTTTGACTATGGGTTAGTCAGTCTTTATCTCTTCTTCCTTCCACTGAATCATTTTCGCATTTTTGACCATTTGGTAAGTCTCTTTAAGTTTGAGTTTGAGTTATCTGCTAGCTCGGTGAGGGTACAACATAGTGCAATGTGAAGCAATGAAAGAAGTAGCTCTATTTTCTGAGTGGAAGATAGGGTTACACTTTCTAAGTGTTGGTCAAGGTGTGATGTTGTGATGTGAATCATTTGACCTGGGAAAGCAGATAGCAGCAGAGAAATGATCCAAGGTACGCTGAATGAGCCTCTAGGGGAGCACCTAAGTGTCAGAAAGCACTGGAGTGTGTGAAGCTTGAGAGAAGTGGCTCTCAATGCAAGATGAAGTCTATATGAAGTGATAATATGATTGTGGCTCTAAAGTGTGGCTCTATACTTTGTGATATGTGGTGGTAGATAGGTGGTAGAAGGTAGTGTAGCGTAAGTAATGCCACTTCAGCTCAACACAAAGTGAACCAGAGTGAGGTAAGCGCTATGTAATGACTACCAGGCCCATGAGAAATGGTAAGTTGGAGGCGGCGGGTTACTGGGAGTTCAAGGCGAGTTTCATTACATTTTAAAATTTAGGGTTGATAGCTGACTCTGAATAATTCATGGACCCTACTTAATTGTCTGACATACTTGTCTAACTAATGTGAGTCTACTGTGACTGCCATAAACCTCTGGGGCATATTTGCCAGTGCTTTTTTGACAGAATAAAGGACCCACGCCAAATTGAAATACTAGTATCTTTAGTCTGGTGAGTATCAACGTTTACTAAAACCTGTCCATTGGTATATTGATGTGCACTGGGGATATTTCGATTCTGGTGGTGAGGTGACAATACTCACCAGAACCTTTCCGATGGTGGGGTGCCATTTGCGGATGTTCACCAAAACCTTTCCGGTGGCCCAGCAATGTAAAGTTCACCAAAAGTTTCTGGTGGTGTGGTTACATAACTGTCCATGTTACCAGAACTTAGCCGCCCATTTTCGTCTTGATGTGGTGCCAAAACGAGCAGAGTCTGGATCCGATATTAGAGGCCATTGTTGAACCCTGAATTTTTCCCTAGTCTCTGAAATCTTTCGCTAGCCATACACTGTATCAACCCGCACTCCTCATACCATGCCTGGAATTCGCCCTACTCATCATTCCCTTCAGTTTCCATGTTTATCTCCAGGCTGTATGTGCTGGTTTCAAAACGCCTCAGGCTGCACTCAACACATGTATGCATGCCATCCAGTTGCACTCGCTCAAGATTTTCTACCAACATCGCCTCAGTTGCCACCTCCTGATTTCTTGCCACCCCCACCTGATGTCATACCATTGGATGATGATGAGGATCCAGAGTCAGAATTCACGGATGCGAGCGGGCATTACTATTGTACGTATCATTCGCTCATCAATGGTAAGTTCCTTTCAATCAGTGTCCATTCATGAATTGTGACTCAGACACACTCTTAGGACTGCCATGCACAGCTGACAGTGTATTTCTACCGCCCAGTACACCACCAACTCCTGCTCCATTGAAGTCTCCTCATGACTGGAGTCTGTATCACAGTGATGTTGAGTTTGCAATGGCAGAGTTTACCTTCAAGCAATGCCATATGTCTAACAAAGCTTCGGACATACTATTCGACTTGATGGCTGTGCAGCTATTAAAACACAACGACTCCCCTCCATTCGTGGACCACAAGGATTTGCACAAGGTCATTGACGCTACACAGCTTGGCAATGTCCCTTGGCAATGTCTCTCGGTTCAATACGCTGGGGAACGCCCTGAGCACGATACTCCTCCGTGGATGGGCAAAGACTATGAAGTTTGGTACAGAGATCCCCGCGTGATGGCACACAACATATGACGAAGCTATGCGACACTCTGATCGAGACGACTGGCTTGCAGCCATGAAGCAAGAAATGAACCTGATGTCTGAGATGGGAGTTTACGAGCTGGTCCCACTCCCAGACAATCGGAAGGCGATTGGGTGCCGATGGGTTCTCGAGTTTAGGGAAGATCTAAAAGGCGGGTCAGTTTATAAAGCTCGTCTCGTGGCACAGGGATTCTCTCAGGTGCCAGGCATTGACTTCGGCAAGACCTTTGCGCCTGTTGCCAAGGCAGCTTCTATTCAGGTCATCTCTGCACTTGCTACACGCAACAATTGGGAACTTGACGTGTTTGATGCGAAACGTGCCTTTTTGTGGGGTAAGCTGTCTGAGGACGTTTACATGTGACAACCTCCTTGGATTTGAGCCTGTCTTAGGTCTCACTGACATTCAAGGCGTGCAGTGTCTGCGATGAGCTGTTCTCGGTACTGGCGCCCATGCTCTGTGGGTTGTTGAGCCCTTCCTGAGCGACGAGGAGGTGCAGGTGCAGGATTGGGAGGGTGTGCCACATTAGGGTGTGGTGCCGCGTAATCATCATCATCATCATCGTTGCTATTGTCAGGGAAGGGACAAGAGGAGAAAGACTCATCGAAAATGCCATCTTGGGAGTTAAAGAATGCCCTGGTGACAGAATCTCGGCAATGCCAAGCTTTAACTCCTGGTGGGTGGCCCATGAACACCGCTTCATGGGATCATGGTCCCAGTCTCTCCTGCAATTTGGCGGGGATGCGTACAAAGCACCGTGCTCCAAATACTCGAAGGTGAGAAACGTTGGGTTTTGCGCCGTGTAGCATCTCATAGGGCATCTTTCCAGGGTCGAGGGAGCGGGATTCGGTACAATTGAAGAGATAGGCTGTGCATAGGGCAGCCTCACCCCAAAGGTTGCGAGGTAGGCGAGCATGATTGAGCATCGCGTACATCCTTCCTTCGATCGTGCGTATGACGTGTTCCGCTTTCCTTTTGCACCTGCTAGAACATTCTGCTTCAGTTTTTGGGATATTCTTCTCACATTCTGAAGTCATTACATCACCTTTTTACTTCCATAATATTCCCACACAAAATGTATATAAGGAGAGCCCATTCTCCCCCTCCAAAAAATAGATCTCCCACTTGTTGCATTCAAGAATCTCCCACTTGAGCAAATTGAACTCTCACCTAAGAAGCTTCAGTATAAACAAATTGCTGCTTACAAAGCCCATTTCCTTTGTAAGAACTGTCCAGACAAGTGCAGGGTTAGTGTATCCCTTCAGATTATGTAAGTTTCTCACGATAGAAACCCAGTTTTGTGAGACCAGTGTCCTCACCACATAGTGTTTACTGACCAACACGAGCGTTGGTCATCGTTGTTATTTGTGAGACCAGCGTTCTCACCAGGTATTTGTATATTGACCAACACAAGCTTTGGTCAATGTAGTCACATTTGAGACCAGCTTCTCAACAGTTATTCGTATATTCAGGAAACCAGTTCAAGTGTCTAGACGGTATATCCTAGACAATCCCATAGTTTCAATCAGAGATAATAAAGCTCCGGCTGAGTTAATCTAACTGATTGGTTTAGCGAGCCTCAAAAGAACTCGCATGTTATCTACCACGAAAGAAGAAAAGTCGTAGACCATGTTAATCGAGGACTGGCAAGAAGTCTTATCCAGTGTAATTGTGGTGTCATTACATTCTTACACGTATTTATATAAGACCCTCAGTTATTAAGACAATGCTGGTCTTCATCCCGCACAGTCACGTCTTCTCTTCGCTTGTCAGTGATACACACATAGGTCACGTGACACGAAATTTGACTGCGCGTGAAGATTCCTGTACCTCACAATGAGATGCATTACACCAGCCTTCAGAGACACAGCAAAACCTTTGGCATACAGAAACTAAAACCCCCCAAAAAACCTTGTTATTCTCATCATTGTGATTGAGAACAAGCATGTTCTAGTGTTACAATAGAGTAGTCACATCAGGACAGTGCATTCTCAATAAGGCTCCAACTGTTTCTGTTTATACACTGTTTTAAACTGTTTAACCTGTATACTGTTTATGTGTATTTACTACCACTGGTGCACACAGTTAGTATCCGTTTGTAAACTGTTTACTTCCTTGTGACACGATGCTAAGATGACGACTACTCAAGAAGCTCCGAGCCATGACAGATGTCAGATATCATAATAATCATATGTCCCAAGACACATCGGGCTTGCTGTCCGACGATGCAGACCCGAAACGATAATTTTTAACATGAGTGCAGATATGGAAAGATATCCAGGATCTGCGCCTCCTACCATATTCTCACACTGTAAAGTTCAAAGCTTGCGACATGTCTGATTCTGCAAGTGCTAACCTAGCCAAACTCTGTGTCCTCATCAAGAATGTCATATCCCGTATTCTGGACCTTCGTCCGATGATGTTCTCACACCTTCCGGATGCACATCCGGACCTCCATACCCTTATCCATGACTCCATAACCTTATCCATGCCTTCAGTCCTCCAGTCCACTATCGGTTTGATTCCGTACACCTTCATACATCCATATATCAATACCTTCAGACCTCCGCAGCTAAGCCTGCTCCATCCACCCTTAGTCCTATCAGATCCGAGCTCATTCCATCTCGGACTCTACCTTCCCTAGACTACCGGTCTATATCCATGATCCATATCCTAGTCTTGTCTTCACCTATATCTCCGGATCCACTCATCCGATATCCAGACACTTCATCTGATATCTCTAGACCTCTGGATCCGACCTAGACTCATATCCGAAGCCCAAACCTTAAATCAGCATCTATCTCCTTATGGTAATCTCCTTGACTCTGGACTTCGGTTATCTCTGTTTCTGTCTTGCTTATTGATCCTTGTACTCTGTTCATCTCCGAGTTCATTTACTTATGTTCCGTTCATACTTACCAATATGTTTCCACATGCTTGTACATAGCATTTGTGTTCAGCTTACTTATCCTCTCGGATCCCGTCCAGTATATAAACCTCTGTACAACTCCTGTAAAGTTTCCTTAGTTCGAATATCAACATAGACTTGCTCTCTCGCATCTTAGACTTCACTCATTCTGATCTCAGACTTCGGTCCATCTTAGTATTGCCTTTCCTTAGGCCTAGGGAAGGATTCCCTAGGCCGACTTTCTGGTCCTCCGGATTTATCCTTCCGTCTATATCCATGCTTAGGGATTGACTCCCTAAGCTGAAGCTTTGCCTTTCCGGCACTTCCTGTCTTTCCGAGACTTCTGTCTAAACCCTGTCTATCCGACTCTACCATAGTGTAGTCTACCTCTGTTGTTTCTACTCTGGACCTTGTCCATAGTAGCCTTTCCCCTCCTGTCCTAATCCTGTCCGCTCCTCCGGTCCTCGTAAACCTTCGGACCTTCGGATGTTGTAACCTTCGGACAACACAACCTTTGGACGATGCAACCTTCAGATGTCTTAACCTTCGGACCTCCGGATGTCCTATCCTTCGGACCACTCCTCCTATCCTATCCTGCTTTGGACTCTGTCCCTTGCAGCTTATCCTCTATGTGTTTCTATCTAGGGAACTCACCTTGGGAAGTCTTACCTTCGGATCTAATACAGTAGATGAAACTCCTCCAGAAGTTTCTTGCACTCATCCAGAAGTCCTCTAGCACTCTACTAGAGTAGCCAGCCTCCAGAAGTCCTTCGGACTTCGTTGGATTCCATCTGGACTTCATTCTGAAATTGAGGGCACGTACTCGGGTAAGGGGCACAGTGCACGAGCTGAGGCCAAGCCCTTCGGATCCGTCTACCCTTGAGCTACGGTCTTAACAGAGAACCTTCCAACTCTCTGTAATTCTTTGCCTGCCTCTGTCCCAGAGGCAAGAAACAGTGATCTAATCCACCATGTCACCACCACTGTAACTGGTGAAAATCCATGGCACACTTTCAACTGTCGTTTTGACATCCTCTTCAGCAAGGATTGCCGGGATGACCAGGGCTGTCTCCATCACCTGAAACGAGGTCCCTTAGGCATGGGGTTAGTTTGCATGTACCTCAACAGCCTAAATCTTGAGGACCCATGCTTTATGCCGGATTTGATGGTTAAAAAATCACTCGCATAGTTGAAGAAGTCATTTACCTGCTGTCTCCACCACATGGATTTACTACAACTGCCCATCTTCCTAAGGCTGCCGCACCAACCACTGGACCTGAAATGATAGTGCTCCTGGCAGCCAAAGGCAAAAGAAGCAGATCCAGAAACCTGGTAAAGAGTCAGGTAATGATGATGCAGACAAAGATTACATTCCACGGAAGCCCAGAGACGTGTCAGAATCTCCCATCCACCCATACATCATTGACGAAGATGGACACGAGATTCTTGACGAGTCAGATAATGCATTACCTGGCCATACAGTAAGCTTGCTTGCATCTACAAAAATGTGCCGTCTAGATACTAAGATGAATCAAGCAGAAAAAATGGGCTCATGCTTGGAAACTCACCACGATTGACTCAGATTCAGATGCAAGTAATGCAGTAGTCACAACAGCTGTTACAAGCAAGAAGGCATCACAAAGTCGGGCTAAAGGGGGACCAAAGAAGAAAAGAAGCAAGAAGACTCGCACCGCTTTGACCAAACACTCGAAAATGACTGCCAGCGCTGAGACGATTGATGTCTCTTCAGAGGACAAATCTGACGGACAGGGTGCGCTGCGGGCAGTTGAAGAAGCAGAAGAGGAGTTGAGGGGTGGGGGTGAACGGGGACCTCAGTCACATACCCAAATCCACTGGCACACTCCTTGCACAAGTCTCGAGCCAGGTACAAGGTTAAAACACTGGTTGTTTAAATGCCGGGTACTGTGATCTGTCAGTTGTGATGAACTTCAAATAAAACAATAGGACTTACTAGATGTTCTGTTACAGGACCAAGTCTGTTCCATGGACTGATGGGTGCACTGATTTTGACGACAAGAAACCACAGCCACATCTTGGAAATTTTTCAACACATAGTCGACACGCCCATGCTGACAAGTGGGAAACACCCCCTTCTGACTTTGATATTGACAATGGTACCTCTTCTGCAAATACCCGGAAAGGATCAGCTGCTGTGAGTGCGAGGATTATGGATGACTACCTTGCAAAGGGAACCAGGCCAATGTTTCCAACACGAGAGGGCTTTCTGTGGCACTTTGTTGCCTGGGTCATTGAAGACAACCTTCCTTGGACAACTGGTAAAACTCCGGGTATAATACGACTATCTCGTTTTTCAGAGGTCAGATGGGAGCTACCAAGTGATACTACTGTCCGGAAAATGGTTGGGAAAATCTTTATTGAGCTTTGTCACAATCTAGTGAAGGAACTTACTGTAAGTGAGACCTCCCATCTACACACGAGCTTTGATGATGATACATTACTATGTCACAGGCTGTAAAATCGAAGATATCTTACTTGACTGACAACTGGACAATGAAACAAATGGTTTTTACCTTCGCTGGAACAACTGCTTCATTCATTAATGACGAGTGGGAGCTTTGCGAGCGACTTGTTGATTTTCATCACATCAAAGATAAGGAGCATGAAGGCATATATGCTGCAAAGGTGTTTGTCAAAACAGCTGCAAGTCGTGGTGGTTTGAATAAAATAAGTTCTTTCCTCTTGTCTCACACCAGTATTCAGCCGTCCTGACTTGACCATAGTACTTCCTAGCTGTCTGCCTTGATAATGCATCATCTTGTGATATGCTTGCTTGAGCAACCGGCAAGTTTCTTCAAGAGCGCTATGATATCCAGTTCCATGAAGGAAATGCACGAATACGGTGCATGGCACATGTTGTGAACCTCGTTGTTCAAGCAATGCTAGCCAGTTTAGACAAGGCGAGGGATCCTGATGAGGAGGACTATTTTGTCCCAAACAAGCACCTTCCGTTCCATTACGACCCCAATAACGACGCTGATTTACAAGAGCTTGAGCGAGAACAAGACAGCGACAACATCGAAAATGATGATCTTGAGCTTGACGAAGAAGCCGAGAAGCTTTTGAATGAGTTCCATGGATTGAGTCCTGTAAAGAAGGTAAGTTCATTGTTTACAATCATTGATCTTAATCCAAAGTTTTTTCATAGCTTCGTGAGACTGTGAAGAAAATAGCTTCATCTCCTCAGCGACAGAAGCAGTTCCATATGATTTACAAGCAGGCCTTTGGTAACATCAAGGCACCTTCAGGGAAGCTACCGTGCACCCTGATGGTCATTCGCAATGTTGCCACTCGATGGAACTACACTCACGCCATGATACAAAGAGCACTGATGCTCTGCAAGGTGAGTGTTTTGATTTCGACATGTATTAGATTTCATTACTGTACTACCAGGCAATTGAGAAATGGGTGTTCGAAAGGAAAGAGCTCCGTGATGAGCTTTATTTATCAAACCAAGAGTGGGCTTTTCTTAAGTGGCTTGCCGACATTCTCAAGATGAGTCTCGTCATACTGTAGAATATTGAATGGCACACCGAGTCAACAAAATCCTGCAGGTATTCACCAAGGTCACATTGTACATGTCACGCTCGAACACGCCAACTTTGCCATGGGCAATCCCAATGTATGACTGCATGGAAACAGCTTTGCAGTCAGCCACCTTGGACAATAATGTCAGCGGAAAACTGCAGCAAGCATGTACAGTTGGGTTGCGAAAGCTTCACCATTACTTTGACATGGCTTGACACAACCATTTCAACACTCTTGCAACTAGTTGAGTAGAGTTCTCCTAATTTTATACATTAACACTGATTTTGCGCTATCCATACTTAGGTTGTCACCCAGCACTCCGCCTCAAGTGGTTCCGTAACCTCGACAACGACAGATACACTCAAGCAAAAATAATTTTTGAACATTTCATTGCACGCTATGAGCTTGCAACACCAGGAGTGGTTCCCGCTGCATCTCACATGCCTCCACCATTAGCTTCTCCTGATGAAGATTCTTTTCTTTCGTCACTGATTAATTTGCGTCCTGATGGAAAATCCCCCACAACATCGACAGCACCCATCCAGTCTGAGTTCGAGTGCTATGCCGTCCTTGCACAGGGTGCCAAGGACCCAAATGCCTTGAGCATGCCTCTTATATGGTGGAAGGTACACTTTTTTCTTATTTCAGACTTGAAAAACTAGTTGACTATCTATGAAGGACCATTCTCATGAATTTCCGACTCTCTCTCGCATCGCGCATGATGTCCTTGCCATTCCAGGTGCCATTTCTCCCGTCGAGCAGCTCTTTTCAAAGTCATGCCACTTGTGTACTGACCAGCGGTCTTCCCTTGCTGCGGCCACTGTGACACAGTCAATGTGTGCGAAGCTATGACCCAGCAGGGTCTCTTTGATTTCAACAAGTAAAACATAATTGTGTATAAACTGTTTAAACCATTTACAAATGTCTACTTACTGTTTATGTTTATTTACTCAAAAATTGTACACGTAAACTAAACGGTTGGAGCCTTAGTTCTCAAGACATGATTGGTCATACTTGAATGTGACTCAGTGTCTTGAGAACGCACTTCCTGATCTCCAGCTCAGAGCAAATAGTAAGCTCTGGGTCATGCAATTTTTGTGATGTAAGCATTCGATACCATGGCAAAGCAGTGTTGTTACTAACCTGTTAAATCAGTTATAACTTAACCCGGTTATGACCGGTTAAGAGGTTAGTTAAATGGATCTGTGATTTTGGGAGGGTTAGTAGGGTTAATGTACTAGGAGTTAATTGGGTTAATTGGGGGTTACCAAACTTTTAATCATTATCATCAATCTCTCCGATTCTCTCTGTGCCAGCATCCTGGGACTGTATTATCTCTCCAAGCCGCTCAGATGGGTAGGGAGAAGTCCTGGCTGTGGGATCATTTTCATCAGGGGACTGCGAAGGTTGACAAAGTGCACTGGCAAGCATGCTGTAAATATTGTGTCAATGTGAAGGCTAAAGATCTCGCAAATGCTGATCAACAGGCTGTTGCACACAGAATACTGCAGGCTGTCAGAACTTTCACAATTTTGATACAGGAAGGTGAGTTTTTGTCAATTGATGCCATGTAACATAAATGATTAATGTATACCATATAATGGACTCAAACCGCATGCGATAATGTCCCTTATATTGCCGGAAAGGTCGAAATCATGGCAAAAGGAATACATATCGGGGTTAGGACAAGTAGTTGAGGTTGAGGATGACATCTCAGGCATTTCGGATTCAGAAAGTAGCAGGCAGCGACAAATTCGTTGCTTCTTCAGTCAGAAGAGAATGTTTTGCATCCGTGACATGTTCAATTGGTCTGTTGAGGTTGGATGGGATGAGTTTTGGTTCCAGGGTGTGAAAAACATGGAGAGTGAGGCTTTATTCTACGAGCTAATGTCACGCCTGCCCGAGGATGAAAAAAGTACAAGTAGGAATGTCCCAGGGGAGTCATCAGGCATGGGAAATAGTCCATTGAGTTCAATCTGTGACAGATGTGATAAGTGAAGGCTTTCAGATGTGGCACAAGGGATTACTAAGACGCTCGAATAACTAGATACAAGTCAAGTAGATTCAAGAACGCCAAAGATACAAACAATGAGGAGCGACTCGTCTTATACTAGGTAAGGTGCTAGGCTTATTATACTTTAGAATAGGCAGCTGATAAAGTAAATGTTTCAGATAATGTGACTTCCGAGTCTCCCGATTCTGCAATACGATCCAGTCCAAAGGCAGACATCACATACCCCCCCTTCAGAGGTCGTCCTGCGACCTCTCACTTCTTTGGGATGCGGCCCTTGGCTTTGGCAGCGCACGCTTCAGTGGTAGCTTTGGTGGACTCCAACATCTCTGTGTCCGGGTTCTCTGGTGGCGATGGTAATTCAGGAGGTGGAGTGGAGGGAGCCTGAGGAGTGGAGTTGGAGTTGGAGGCAGGAGTAGGAGGAGTACTGTTGGACGGGCCTGTGAGGGCATTAGTCATGGCCTTGGAGGGTGCGAAGGGTTTCATAGCATCATCATCCTCCCGTTTCTGACATTTGGCCTGCCTCTTGGTTACCCCTTTCTCTCTCCACTGTCGCTGTTTCTTGATATGCTCAAGGTTGTCCCACAGCGCCTCATCCATCAGGTCGCTTCTCTGGGAGTCCAGTCATTTACCCCCAGCGTCCTCTCGGGGGTCCCGGGGTGCAGACGAGGTACGTCGTGTAGCTTCGAGTCCCACTAACTCAGCTAGAGCAGGAGGATGGCCAGTAATTTGTACACTCACCTCACCTTCCGGAATGAAGGCGACTTGGATGCTGTTCCCCACGTTGGTGTTCAGCGCAATGGCAAATTCATCGTATCCGACGGGGGAAGGGATGGAGCTAGGAGTGGCTCCCCCACGGAGGTCTGCCTCATGCTGGAGATACATCTGGAGTTGGTTGAGACTGACGAGTAGGGTGACGTTGGGACTATGGTGGTCAGGGAGTATGAAGTGTTCGATGCCCGCTGATACTAGCATTGGGACAGGAATGGGAATAGTGCGTGGTGTGGAAGACATAGTGCGTGGTGATGGTCGAAAGGAAGTGGAAGGAAAGTGGTCATGTCGAGCGGGGGTCTTGAAGTAGTCCTCAGATAGGCCCATACCCCCAAGAAACACATGATAGTGCTCGACAGACGGTGCCTCGTTGCCACCTGCCAGGTTGGCGATGGTGTCAATCCCTATGACATCAAAATAGTCTTGCAAAGCGCCGAGGTGATCGACTTGGTCGTAGGGAGCCAAGTTATGTCACCGGCCTTCCACTTTACCTCGAACACTGCATCTGATCTATTCCCTTTATGGGACAGAATGCGATCCACAGCCCATTCCTTTTCCTGGGTCTCGAACTCAGCAACTTGATTATCCATTTGACCAGGGAACAACCGATCGTTGCTGGGGGCGTGAATCTGCAGATACGACGAGTGAAACACGTCATGAATTACTCGCTGCTTGAGACGACTGGGTAGCTCTATGCTGAAGGAGTTGTTCCAGAAATCATCGAGGATTTGATAGGGTCCCACAAACTTAGGTAGGAGCTTCCTGGCTAGTCCCTTTGGGAAACTCAGGTTCTTGTCAAAATATAGACCAGGTCTCCTTTGTTGAAAGGGCAGGGATGCCGCTTCTTATTGGCGTCCTGTGTCTGCTTCATGCGAGCATTGATTATGCTATCGTGAGCCTCCATAATGCCTTGTTTCATTTTCTGCAAGTACACTCTGACTCCAGGATACTCCGTTTCGAGTGGGTCATCCCAAATCATGGCTCTAGGTCATTGACCAGAGTTTTTTCAAAAGGTGAGTGTTGTGTAGACTCCGAGCTCGCTATGTTGATTGTGAATTCTATTGCAGGGAGTTTTTGGTACCCAATCCCTTTGGTTCGGAGCTATGCATGCTCTTAGCATCTGCACTACAGTTCTATTGGCCCGTTCTGTGGACCCGTCAGTTTCAGGGTGGTAAGCACTCGAATCTTTTGTTTAGCGCCAATGAGCTTATTAAATTGGTCCAGAACGCGCTAGTGAATAGCACGTCCCTATCACTGATGATATACTTAGGTACAACCATGGTACTTGTATACCTCTGCAAAGACTAACTCTGCAATCTCTTTGGCCGTATAGGTTGTTTGGCTTGGTACCAAGTGTACCATCTCACTGAACAGGTCTATTATCACTGTAATCAAGTCGTACTCCCCATTTCTGTCCTTGGACAGCGGTAGGGGACCCAGGAAGTCAATACCAATGGCCTCCCAAGGTTTGGATGGAACTGGTAAGATGTTTAGTAAACCATAAGGTTTCTGGTTGGATGGTTTGCTCGTCTGACAAAGTGGACACGTCTCACAGAATGTGTTGGAAGGGGCACACCCAGCCGACGACGAGACAAGCAAAACACCAGGTGGTGGTAGAAGACTGAAGACCTAACCCTAAAAACATGCACTATCTATGGACTATGCGACTCCTGAGACCTCTGAAGACCTCTGACACCCCTCTCTGAAGACCCTGAGGCCAAACCTTCCTACTACAGCGTGTACATCTTGTACCATCGTTTTCCACCAGACTCAGTCCCTTAAATAGGTAAGTGCCTTTTGTGTGCCCAGATGAGCAAGTAAGGAATGAGCTTGGCTAATGATCTTCTCTTGTAGCCGTCTTCCTTCGACCTTTATGTCAGGGATGCATAGTAGAACCCTGTTGTTTAGTCGGATGCGGACAACCTCGTCGTCAACTTTGAAGTTGCGAAAGTGTTTTGGTGAGTCCATCACTTTCTGAAAGAATGGGTCAAGGTGATATTGACCCTTGATGTCTTCTAGCGTTTTGTCCTCATCTAGACCCAAGTGTGTCAGGATTTGAGCAAGTGGAATGAATCGTTCCTCGTGCTCCTCAGTGGGCTCTCGTGTTGTCAAGTCAGGGAGGGTGAGTGTCATCTCCCTTTCCCTCCTTCTTTAATTCACCAGGGCCACGCAGAACGAAATGATTGTGCACCCTTCTGGCAAACTCAGCCGAAGTGTCAGGCCTTCCTGTTTCCGCGGGTGGCACAGTCACCTTCTTTTGCCCCACTGGGTGACCTGCCTTATCAGATTCGCCCAGTATTGGTCGTTGGTTCCCCCCAGAAGAAGCTCCTGAGGAGTTATTCGACACATGGTGCCCGGCCCTCCTTGGCTGACTTGGGAGTGGTGACCTGCCATCCCGCAGGCAACCAGGCTGGGGTGACTGCTGGACATGCA